TAATTTTTTTTTTTTTTTTTTTTTTGCCAATTATAATTTTAATCTTTATTTGCTTTGATTGATTAATTTTTTTTGATTTCTTTAAGTAAAAAAGTTTTATGTAATATAAAAAGAAATGTAAAGGTAAAAATAATGGTAAATATTGAAAAATATGTAATATAAAAAGAATGTAAGAATAATGTAAAGGTAAATAATGGTAAATATTGAGAAATATATAATATAAAAGGAATGTAAGAATGTAAAGGTAAATAATGGTAAATATTGAGAAATATGTAATATAAAAAGAATGTAAAGATAAATAATGGTAGATATTAAGAAATATGTAATATAAAAAGAATGTAAAGGTAAATAATAATAGATATTGAAAAATATATAATATAAAAAGAATGTAAAGGTAAATAATAGTAGATATTAAGAGATTTGAATTGAAAATAAGAATAACAATATAACATTTTTTTTTGAAGGAATTTCATTAAAAATAGTTATTAATAAAATTTGAATATAAATGAATAATTGGAATTTTTGTATTTTGAAAAGATGAGAATTTTTCTTAGTTTTTTAAAATTTGTATATTATTATTAAGAAAACTAGTAGTACCTATTGACTATGTTAACATTCTATTCTTTTTATATATAATAATAATTATAATGTAAAATAAATCTATATAAGAAATAAATTTACATTTATTTCTACAATTTTTAGTATATTACTATAATTTTTAACTATTAAAAAACTTCTGAATATATAATATTATAAGTACAATTTATTAAATTTCTATTATCATCTTTAGTGGTAATGATCTTTAAATTTTTTTTGTTATTACCCTTAAACAGGTAACATAAAATTATTCATAAGTAAACATAATAGTTGAAAGATACAATCCAACCCAATTTAATGTCTGATCTTGTAACTTATTAATAGTTATTACAAAAGCTGATTGTATTGAAAATTGATGATGCTTAAAAGTGAAAAGTAAAGTAACATTTGTAAAAGACAGAGTAACATGTAAAAGAAAAGCATGTTTTCAAGTATATTTTTCAGTAATAATTTCTGCTTCAATAATATTCTTCTGAAAGGAATAACAAACCAATCTTATTCCATTGCACAAACCATCTGATGGACTAATATTTTGTAATAATAGTATTAAAGATCCTTTTTTTAATATTAATTTATAAGATAAAAGTCCACCAATTATTATGAAATTTAAAACTCAATGGGATACTGATATTCTGAATTTGATTGTTCTTCTATTGCATCAGTACTAAAATATTCAATTTTTTTACCAGGAAATTGATCTATAATGATTGTATTAACAAAATATACATCTACATTTTTTAGTGCAAGTATTACTTGTTCAATTAAATATTTACGATTTGAATTAATAGATAAATTTAGATAAATTAATTGAATAAGATTATTAATATTTTGTAATTGTAAAACAATATTATTTGGAAGTTGAATAATATTACTTGCTAATCCATTAATAATAGAAATTTGACCTTTTCCAATTTTTAATAACCAATTAGCAAATTCTTTTTGTTCAATAGCATCTGATTCATTTGCAGTACAAAGAAGATGCATATTAGTTTTTTAATGTCATTAATTTTACATATTTTCATAATGCTGATTATCATAAGCAAAATTCTACAATTTCTTCACAACTTCCCTTTATTACTACTGGAAGTATCTAGCAAAAATTACTTTCAAATACCATTATTTTACTTCCAAATGGTTTATTTTCTAAATAAATCTATAACTTTCATAATATCTCTTAATATTCTATTTACAGTTTCAAATACATATCAATGAATCATTGAGGTTTCATCCCAAATGATAAGCTGCTTAACTTGCAAAAGTAAAGCTAAATTAGAATCATATTTTAAATCTTTATGTATTTTAAGAGGTATTTTAAAATAGAAATATACTGTTCAACCACCTAATAAAAGAAAAGCAGCGATATCTGAAGATACTATAGCAAGAGCAATACGCTTCTTCAAACAAACTTTTGCAAGTAAATTGCTATATATATATATATATACAGTAGCTATTAAAAGAAATGCAACACTATAATTATTAGTAACTGTAAATTATGTGCAAATCTATTAAATTAAATCCAATTGAAATAAAACAAATATATACATTTTATTTACCATGTAATATAATATTACCTAAAAGTAGCTTGTTATATTGGAAATTGAATTTGATCAATTGATTTTGGGCTTCTGTGAAGCCTGAATCAACCAATCAAACTTGATTTACTTTGTACTGAATAATTATTTAAAAATATAATCTTTACTAATACACTGTGAAACATTACTTAAGACGTAATTAAAGTACTTTTTATAGTACAAATTATCAAGCATTAGTGTATTACAAACTGTTAAAAATTTAATTATTTTTGATGTATACTATTAAACATTGCTATATTACATCTATGTACAATTATCATCAGATATGTAAAAAATACAAATAATATTCTATTTTATTGTATAAGTGATTTTAAGGCATTACTTGCTAGAAAATAAAGAAAGCTCAAATATTTTTAATTTAATCTTATTATAAAAAATAATTCACATATATGGGTATTTATCAACCTTGCATATATGATTAACTTTACCAGAACTTCCACAAATATAGATAATTTTAAAGTTATTACAGACCTCATCATTTTTTGAAATCATAAATTTTTTACATATTTTTGGTTTGTTCTTGATGTATTCTATTGTTTCATTGATTTCAGCGACTCAGCCTTATAAATCTCATCAAATGCCCCATCCAGATAATTTTCTATCTGATTTTTATTATTATGATCTATTATTCTATTATAATTCTGTTGATTAAAGGGAAAATTAATATTTGCATAGCCCATATTATGTATAATGAAGTTGTTTATAAACACTTGAAAGAACATATATCCTAGTATAAAATCATATTGTGAATAACTAATATAGCAATGTACTAGAATATCCTTACTATATCTTTTGGATGATTTCTGGAGTAAATTATAATTTATAAACAATTTGTATAAGGCATTTTTATTAAATTTAATAATTTGTTAATATTTGAAATTAATAGATTGCAATTTCATTATAAATACTAATATTATATTAAGATTTATATACTATATCTTTCTCTGCTTAAGTTTCTTTAGATGGATTATTAGTGAATATTAAAAATGCATAAGGATTTTCTTCCCTTTTGTAATAAATCAAGACTTGCAATTACTTTATATAATATATCCTAATATATTTACTAAATAAAATGTAAAGTTGTTTACAGTTATATACTTTTAAAAACTATTTTAGATTTATATATTTTTAAAAATAATTAAAAAGTTGGAGTTATTGCAAAAGTTTGAGAAAAAAGTTAGGTAACATTTTATTAAGGTATCAAGTATTAAGATTTCTTGGGAAATTATAATCTATTTTCTTTAATTTTTATTATTACTTTAATATATATTAATTATATTATTTATTTATATAAATGTATTATACTTTCAAATTTTTTAAAATATTATATTTTATAAAATTCAATATTTTTTTTTTTATTTAAAATATTTTAATAAAAATTTATAATTTATAAGTAAACAATTTATAGTTTTATATTATATATTTGAATTTATTAATATTTTATTTGTTATAACATTATAAATATTGTATTTTTATATTGATGTTAGTATTATAATATTATATTTTATTTAAATTTATTTTTATATTTCATTATAAATTAATATAATTTTTAAAATAAAATATATAATTTAATTGTTTAAGTATTGGATTTATTATAATAATTTTCTGTATTCTAACAGGAATTAATAGGCTATTACAGGATCCGCTTACTATTAAGATAGGTTATCTTATGACTTAAGGTAAAATTTACATAAAACTCTTTAAAGATCTTACTATAAAAGAAAATTTTATATTATATTATTATGATTTTTTTCTTTTTAAGTTAATTAACTAATAAAATTTAAGCAAATCCTAAAGTAAGGTTCTATATGAAAGTAAAATTTTTACTAGTAATATATCTTAATAGTAGATGGATTTTACTATTATTACTAGTTTTATTTATTTAAATTAATTATGTGAAAAATAAAGTACTGCTTAAAAAATTTATAATATAGTAAGAATTATGAATTTTTACTATCTTTCTTTTTTTGATTAGAAAAATCATAGCAATAACTATTATCTTCATCTTTTCCTACATTATTACCACTAATATCATTGTCATAATCATAATCATTATCATTAGTATTTCAAATATTATACCATTTAAACAAATTAAAATCTTATTAAAATAACTATTAATAATTACTTTATTATAACCATATACTTTTAATAATTTTCTTATTTCTAATATCAATTTTAATAATTCTTTAATATAAAATAATAATATATTTAAGTAATATATCATACAGTCAAACTTTGATATAGCGAACCCTTGATATAATGAATTTTTTAAACAACTATAATAAATTTCCCTTCGCTATAATGAATTGACCAATCAAATCTCTTAAAATCTTCACTATAACCTTATAGCGAAGTTGAAGTCTGGATCCTAGGGTTTGTTATAACAAGGGTTAACTGTATATAAATTAATGCAATAATAATAATCTTTTATATATTTTTTAAATTAATCTATTATTTAAAAATTTTATAAAATAACATTTTTATATAGATTTAGATATTAATTTTTACTTAATTTATTTTTTTTTCAATTATTTACAAATATCATTATCCATTGATAATTTCTTGTAATTTATCTAATTCATTATTAAAATTGAATTTTTGTAATTATAATTTTTTTGTTATTTATTATAATAATTTTTATATTTTAATGTTTATTAAAAAGTTTATATTTATTTTAATAAGAAATTTATATATTTTATAAAATTATAAATAATTATAAAATACTTTATCTATTGTTGTTTTTTTTTTTAACTAAAATAGTGCAATTTGTGAATTTATTAATTATATAAGAATATAAAAATATCTGTTATATAACTAATTTATTAAAACTTTAAACCAGTTTTCCATTCATAAGATTGCTCCTGTATCCTACTATTACCTTATAGAATTCACCTATATCCTTCAATAGTAGCTATTGAATTATATAAGATCACTATTTCATATGGCTTAATCTATTATTGTTTTTTATATATATGATTTTAATAAATCTGTATTAGATTTGGTAAATAGTAAATTAAATTTTTTATATATTATAAATAATATATTTTCAATTTTTGCAATTAATATATCTTAATTATCATCTTTATTAATTGTTGTGCAATCCAGATAGAGAAAATCCATCAGCTGGATATACTTTTATTTGGTTTACTTTTATTAATATAATTAACTAAATGTAATATGTCAATTTAGATTTGATCTAATACTTATTCCAATTTTTTCTACTTAATATAAAATTTTTTTAATTTAATAAAAATTCATAATAATTTTATTATATATTAATATACTTATAATAACTTTATAAAAAAAATATTTTAAAAATTTAAAATAAAATAATTTTTTCTAAATAAATTAAAAATAATTGAAATTAATATTATAATATTTTAAAATTATATTAATTTATAAATAAATACCTTCTTTTTTTTCAAACTGAAATAATAAATACTAATATTTCATTGACATTTCTACTGGCAATCAAACTATTTCATTTTATCATTTTATAATTCTTTTTTTATTTTGCAACAATAAATTTTTTTATTATAATTATAATTATTTTTTATTCATATACTTGATCTATAAATTTAATAATATTTCTATTTATAACAAGTAATTTTTTATGAGTCATATTACTTATATAATACATAAATTTAATAATTAATATAATTATTTATATTAGTTATAGTTACTTTTGTGAAATACATATAATTTTAATATAAATTTTGTTATAAATAATATTTTTTTTTATTATATAATTTATTAAAATAATTTTAAAATTAAAATTTATTTACAAATAAAAAATTCTTTAAAATATATTTGTACTTATTTAGGCAAATATATATGAAATAAAATTTTTGATAAGTTGTTATTAGTTTTTAAAACTGTAGATATATTATTATTTTTATAATTAATGTTATTAAATTTAATTTTAAAATAAAAATTTATTTATTATAATTAAATTATTTATTTACAAAATGGATTTTATTGCCGTTTTCAAAATGATGTATTCAGTTAAATTGAATAAAAAAAAAAGAAAACTGAAACCCAGATGAAAACTGGACGAAATATGGACAAAAATGAACAAAAACTGGGCGAATATTAGTATTTGAATATACAATCACAAATAAATTGCGTACACTATTTTGAAAACGGCAATAAATAAAAAGTAATGTTATTCATAAATTTTATTTAAATTTTTGGTTTTTTTTTTAATTTCAGTTTTAAAATTATTGTATAAATAAATAATATTATTAATTTTAATTATTAATTATATATTTTATTATTTTATTTATTATATTTAAAATTAATTATAATATTAAATTTTAGAAATAGCTATATTATATATATCTTAATATAATTATTAAAAATATATACTGTATATATTATTTAATTAATTATTTAATTTATATATGATTTTTAAGATATAAGTAGTTATTTATAAATTTTATTTAAATTTTCAGTTTTTTTTAAAAATTTCAACTTTAAAGTTAATTATATCATAATTTTTAAAATATAAGTAATTATTCATAAATTTTATTTAAATTTTTAGTGTGAATAAAAGAAGAGTTTGATATATTATTATAAGTGGAAGGGGAGTTTGATATATTGTTATGAATAAAAGGAAAGTTTAATATGTTATTGTAAGTATTTGATACATTATTACTATTATTGTTAGTTGAAGAAACAGGTTTTTTTTAATTTTAATTTTAAAATTATTGTAATAAATAATAATATTAATTTTAATTATTAATTATATATTTTTTGTTATTTTTAAAATTAATTTATTCTTTTTATTTAATATTAAATCTTATGAAAAATAATTATATTATATATATTGTAAAGAAATAATAATAATCAATTTATATTTACTTGATAAAATTCATCTGCTTTTTTGGTTTTGTTTTGTCCTTTGTTTTCTGTTCAATTTTAGATTTACAATAAATAATATATATATACTATTTAATTAATTATTTGCCATAATATGAAAAGTAATAATTTTTATAAGATATAAGTGAATATTTATAAATTTTATTTAAATTTTTAAATTTTCAATTTTTTTTTAATTTCAGTTTTAAAACTATTGTAATAAATAATAATATAATTTTTATTATATTTAAAAGTAATTTATATCTTTTATTTAATATTAAATCTTATTAGAAATAGTTATATTATATACATTTTAATATAATTATTAAAATATAATATATAGATAAATAAATGAATTTATATAATCTATTCCTAAAATATTTAAATAAGAAAAACTACTTGTTATAAATATATTTATTATAATATTATATTTTTTTATATATAATATTTTTATAAGTAAAATATTTTAAATAAATTTATATTTTTATAATAAAAATTAAATATTTTAAATTTTAAAACTATTATAATAATTATAAAATTATAAATACTATACATGTTGTCAAAATTCAATATAAGAATTTGAATTATAATAAAATTAATTTGGAATTTGAAATTTAGAATTTGAAATTTGAGATTTTTGGGATTTAAGATTTGGAATTTGTAATTTTGAATTTCAGTGGTATTTTTAAATAAAAAAAAAATTAAAAATACAATAATTAAAAAAAAAAAGTAATTGATTATTTATTGAAAATTTTGCTTTATATATTTACAAATTTAAATAAAAATAATAATAAATTAATATTAAAAAAATTGTAATTGGTACTGTAATTATTAAATATATATTAAAGCTTTTTTTTAGTTATTATATTATTATTTAAATATATTTTCTTTAAAACTAAAATATGGCAGAAAATACCTTAAATTGAAACATTTAAATAAGCTATTAATAATTAATTTATAATAACAATTATTTGCTTATTGAACTACTGAACTACAAATAAAGATAGTAAATCTTTAATTATATATAAAATATCAGTATAAATATTATTGGGTATCTTTAGTATACTAAATACTTTATTACTATTATTATACTATTTAATAACTGAAGCCAAATTATAAAAAAACAATAATATTGTTGCTATACAAATATTTTATTTTTTTTTATTATGAATTTACACAAATAAAAAATTTACAAAAATATTTGATCTAAAATATTTCTTATAAATAAAATAAAATAATACACTATTCAATTTGAATTTCAAACTCAAATTTGCCTAAATATAATCATATGTAAATACAAGTTCTATACAAAGTAAAGAAATACGTACATTTTAAATACTAAATGAAAAAGTTTTTGTTTTGTACTTTACTTTTTGAAAGTACTCGTTTCATTTCCAAAATTGTCATTTAAATAAATTAACTTATTAATATTTGACTAAATCATCCAATAAATTAAAATTAAATCCAATTGCAAATAACTTCCTTTTAATGTCATTATTAAACACAGGATCAGGAGATATACTAGTATTAAAATCAGGCACAAATTCAATCATTTCATCATCATTTATACTCCTAATTTCATGAAACTCAATCAAATGTAATCTTACATCTCTATAAGAACGTAATTTTTTGGTATCATAGATAAGTCTTTGTTCTTTTGCAAATTCCGTAACGCATACTTTACATTTAAACATATTATTCTCTCTATAACCTCCAAGTACTGCACCCTGTACAGTTGTCGCCTGACTAAAACTATTTAATAAATGTGTAGCCTCACACCAAATTTGCGGCATCAAAGTCTTCATAAGGTAGTTTTCATCCCATAAATTATAGGGATTACCATCATGAAAAGGAGGATTCTTAAAAGATGGACACCAAGGTAAATATTTTTCAACATAAAATCTGTTTTCATCTTGTTGAACATTAGAATTTGCGGTTGAAGCAGAGACAAATAAAGGATGATCCCATATAAAATAATCATCCCAAGCATATGGATCATAATGATCAACATCAACAATATCCATTGGATCATCGTAAAATACTGAATCAGTATAGACAGGCCCTAATGTTGAATTTGAAGCTGCAGCAGATGTCGATCCAAGGTTAAAAGAAAAATCCGATGTATCGTGTGATATTAAAGAATCGATTGACATTACAGAATTTGTGTCTACATAAAAGGTATAGTTATAATAAATTAAATCAAATAATACTTTTAATTATTCAAAGAACTTCTTGTGCTTACCTGTACTATACGATGCATTATTATCATTAGAATAAGAAAAAGGATCAGGTATCTGATAATACATCAAATAATCCTGGGAAATTAAAGTCAAATCATCAACATTGGCCGAGGTGGTATCAGATATATCTACATTCATAGAAACGGTATTTGACGTCGAAATCAAGTTATCTATCTTCATAGGAGTATTATCAGAAGTTAAAGTTACGTTGTCAATATTCATAGAAGTGTCTCCAACTTCAACTTTGATAGTATTAGTATCAGCTGTATTTTCAACTTTGGTAGGTGCAAAGTCGGACAACGAAGTTGTGTCCTCTACCTTAACTGGAGTTGTATCATTCGTCATATTGTTGTCAGCTATCGATTCGTTATTTATAATCGAAACATTGGAACTTGAAGTCGAAGTTGTTGAATCAGGAATTATATTAGACGAAGTTTCCAAGGTGGATGTCGAAGTAAAGGCGGATTCAGCCGCATCAATTTCAATTTTATCCATCTTTTTCTCAGTTTCAGAATCTGGAATCCATTGTTTGGCTGTTTGATAAATATCAAATTGTCTCATTTGAATTATAGTATCCTTTGGCAAGCATTTTTCTTTTTCAACGCGTTGTCGTCTCTTTTCTTTAGATAATTCGTTGTATTCCTTTATCAATTTTTTTTTCAACAAAGTCCAAGCACGATCCGTGAAAGGTTGTGGAGACTTACGACTCATATAATTCATTGCCTTTTTGAAAGTAGCAGTTTCTGTTAGATTTTCATCATATTTAAGAATCCCATATTCATTTTTTTCCGATTTCATTTCTTGAATTTTGGATTGAACTTGTAGTACTCTTTCATTTCTTTTTATTGAATTTTCATGAATCTTATTCCTTAATTCTTTATCAGTTTCCTTTTTTCTTTCAATAACCTCTCTCATTCTAGTCGCACCTTCTTCTCTCTTTTTTTTAACCCACTGATTTTTGAGTTCATATGGATAATCAGGAATCTTTCGATATTCTTCATAAGCAGTTATAACATCCTTAGTCCAATAAAGACTAGAAGGTCTATTCTTTGTTCCTCTATCCCATGCTCTTCTATGCCAAGATGGAATGAAAGGCAATCCTGACAGTACATCATCAGCCCTTAAAACATTTGGCATAATATCCTGTCTAATATCTTCTTGTCTAAAAGAAAAAAAAAATCCATTATAAAGATTAGAATAAAATTTTAAAAATACATTGATGGGAAAATTGAATAACTTATACCTTAAGGTTCTTGCCTTTAAACAATCTTCACAACAACGTACAAGAAATTCCCAATAAACTTTCCGAATTTTGGTTTTTCCACAAAATTGACATCCTCTTTCCAACACCAATCTTACATATTGACGTTCTGTCATACCATTTGGAGGTGGTATTTGTAAAAATTGTAAAAATTTTTCTCTAGATGCTTTCCAAATTTCTTGAGTTGTCATTGAATTTTCTGCACTTAAAAATCCATTAAATCTTTTACATACTCGAGCCAAAGATAATAAGTCAACGGGAGGAAGGTTTTGACATATATTTATAAACATTTCTGGAGGAATAGTAGTAAATATACATCGTCCAACTATTACCTTCTGTTTTTTTCCACCACCTTGACGACCCATATTATAATATTTACACTGTAAAAAAAAACCAATTACTAAGAAATAAATAAAACAATTTTTCAAAAAGAAAAAAATATTCGAAAGAGATGAACTTTCATCCTCCTTATTTTACAAAAGGGAATAAAAAAGAAAAATTCCTGTTAAAACAAGTTTTAATAAAAATCCCTCAATTAGGGCTCTGTCCGTCAACGTTGTACGATTCAGGCGCAGTAAAACCGTAACACAACAGAGATTCTTGATTCATCAAAGGGGTGATATAACTTTTTTTGATAAAAGGAAAAAAAAAAAATAATTATGGGGGAAGAAAACGGAGAAACTTTTTTCATTTGTTTATCATGAAAAGGAAATAAATGTATATATATGTACGTATACACAAAATGAGGTATTAGCAAATAAAGTCAAATGACCAATATAGAAGGTTCTATTGAATAAATGAATGAAACGAAACTACGAAACTCAACTTTTTTTAATTAGTCCGTTCCTGATGAAAATTTCGTCGATCAAAATAATATTTAGCTTGTCATCATGTCATCGGAGTGTAACTAATCTTCAAACGAAGTACAAAACCAAGTTCGGAAACAATGTTGTAATATTAAATTCATTACAAACTTTATCTATTGGTTAAACGCAAGCAAACAGTAACACAATGTAACTTAGTTAAACTGTTGTTAGCTCCGTACTAACAATTTCGTTGTGATGGCGCAGTATTATTGGATGCAAACAAAGTTGTCATATGATTGAAAACATTTTACTATTTATGAAATCAATATAAACCTCTAAAGGTATTTCAACTGAATATCATGATAATCTTTTTTAATACTATTTTTTTTTTCAACTTTTTCCCAAACAAATTTAGGACTCTTGAAAGAAAGAATCACGTGATACCATCTAAATTTGTTTAAAAAAAAATATTTTCTCAATCGGAATTATCTTTATTATTTATATTTGACTTTGTTAAATAATTGAACCTTATTCGGATTTATTTGAAAAGTTCATGAAAGGCGTCACATTTCCAAATCTTTGGAAACAGACTTAGTTACAAGTAACTAATTTCAAATTAACCATTTTGTTTGCATTTGCATGAGAGACACTCCCACAACAATCAACGTTGAATCATATGTGCGGTATGGGCATATTAGATGATTCTTTTATTTATTTATTTTTATTATTATTTTTATAATTTCTTTGTTTCGATAAACATGTGAATAATAAATTATATTCAAATAGTCCATGAATTCTGAATTCTAAACCTTAAAATTTTTTTTCGCAATTCGAATTTAGTTCTGCGTCATATTCATTTCTTCCTCGTGAATTTAATCTTTGATTATATATTACAATGTGTTATTAAAAGTACTTTATCCAAGAATTAAATCAAGTAAATTATTTTTTTTTTCTTCTCACGCCCATGACTTTACTGATTTCCTATTTTTATATTATCAAAAACTAAACTAAAAATATCTCTGTGTCTCAAATAACAAATAATACAAAAAAATTTTTTCTTTCTAATGATAAACCATATTTATTTATCTCTTTATCAATAACCTCTGAAAATAAAACTGATGATCTCTTTAGAATGAAATTTCATAATCTTTTTTTTAATTAAACCCAGAAATCATTCATTGACGATAATATTTATTTCCGATATTCGTCTAATTTAGGATCTAAATTGGTATTTATCATAAAAAAGTATTTGTATTCAAAATGTTATCCTTAATAGATTGACAAATCCCGTCAATTTAAAGGGATGAAAAAGATTTACAAATCGATTTTAACGAAAAAAAAAAAAATTCTTTTCCCCGTATTAAAAATCATTACGTAATTTCCATATTTATATCAAAAATAATTAACCCTTTTTATTTTTAATTGTCGGTTATCTACTTTAATCGGATCTTTTGTAGAATAGTACAAAATAACAAATTATTTACAATCCTTTCCAGCATGCTAAATAAAATTTTCTTGGATTTCCATTTGTTGCCAAAAAGTGTTTAACAAAAAGTTGTTCCTTTGGTTCTAAATAATAATAAAATCACAATAAATCGTTTAAAAGGCGAACACAACGATCTTACGGTCTTGCTCTATAAAGAAAGTTATATGCTTAAAATAACTTACGTGGTAATATAGACATTTCGTAATAATAGTCTATCACAGCTTTTGCTTCGTCTTTTGAATATCCTTTTACGTCAAAATTTTGTAATCCTGTCGTGTACTGCAAAATTGTACGAGAAACAGGTTTCCATGGCGATGCTTCAGTTAATCCAAGTGCAATTTCTAATGGTTTACTAATGAATGGTTTAAAAGTTTGTGATAAAGCCCCAATCACTGCCCCATATGTCTATAAGATATAGAAAGTTTTAGTCAGCAAGTTACAACATTCAAATAATTATTTTGAAGATATTCTTACGAAATCTTTTTTTCCAGAAAAATATTCCAAGATTGTCCGAGGAAGTGATAATCTATTAGCTTCCAACAAAGTATCATCGACATCAAAATATTTAGAGTCAGTATAAAATGCATTGATTTCATCAACTGCGAGAAGAACAGGATATTCTTGATTATTTCCAATTTCCTCCAAAAATATCTCAAAAACTTCCTGTGCAGAATGAGGATCATTTATTCCTATTTCCAGTAATTGAGATGTATTTTTATCCTTAATTACATGACGATGTATTTGATGGCCTCTTCTAAGATTGATCTATTATCAAAATTAAAATATTGCGTGATTAAATATAAATTATGAGGATCGATTCGATTTTAATTAGATCCGATGTTGCGTACGTTTCTTAGGTAAGGCTCATTTACAAGCTTGATTTGTTGCAACAATGACATAGTCAATGTAGGTTGTATAAATTCACCTGTTGATTCCACCTTCATATATGGAGAAGTACTATTTACATATTGAACAGCTTGTCAAATTCATGATAACAAGTGAATTAATTAGGATACTTAAATAATTATATATAAAAAAAATAAAAAATATAAAATCCTTACCATGTGGAATATAAATTACAATCCATGGTTTACACATTGCATAATTAACAGCCTGCATAAGTAACGCGCTTTTACCGATACCCAACGGTCCTGCTAATTTTTTTAAAACATTCAACAAATCGATGAAGACCCTTAAAAATCATCCAATTTTAAATTTGCTCACATATAATGTGTCTATTTTTTGTACTAGGTAATGTGGATGCTTCCTCAAGTAGCTTTATCAATTCTACTGATGATTGACGAACGACTAATGATGAGTTGTGAAATAGTTCAAACTGTTTAAAAAAAAAATTTTTTTTAAATATGAAAAAAGTAACAATTTGAAAAAAATAATACATATTTTATTCTACCTCTTTGGATAACGACATTGGAAACTTAAATACTTTAAATTTTGGAATGACCTCTTTAGGAATTTGATAAATTTTACCAACATTTTCATTGGTAAAAACTTCCTATATCTCAAAAAATAAGGTTTATTGATTTATAACATCCTAATCTAAAAAATAAACGGATTAAAATAGACTTACCGGAAACATATCATTTAAAATAACATCAGGAGCAGGCTTGTAAAACTCTTCACCACCCCGTCCAGAACTACTTGTACTGGCGATTTCCACATCCTAATAAATCAATAAATAAAAAAACTTAAAATAATGAAAAATTTAAACCTTCAGATCAATCAAAATAAATAATCAAAAGAATTTACTCTCGAAGATTCTTTTTTAGTCTTTTTTTGTTTAAATCCTAAAGTTTTTACTTGTTTTTCCTTAGGTGTTTTATCTATAAAAAGTATATTAATTAATAAAGTTAAATTGACACTCCAATTTAAGTGAAGACAAACCAAAAAATTTTACATTTCGGTTTCGCAGTCCCAGTTCTTTTTTGTTGAATTATCAAACTTGATGAAATTAAAGGTGATTGGATTGCATTTTGTATTGGATGACGAGTTAAAAAAGATTGTCCTATACTCGTCCTTGGAATAATTGAATTAACTCCCGGTATTATTTTTGTATACAAATGTAAAGATAACATTCCAAAAAATAAGAAAGAGATGTAAAAACTAGATTGAAAATCATTTCATAATTTACGCTTAAATTGGACAAACCATGTGTTTCTGATAAACAAAAAGAATAAATTCTTACGTCGCCTGCAGGATTCGAACCTGCGCTCCCAGAGGGAAATGGCTTAGCAGGCCACCGCGTTAACCACTCCGCCAAAGCGACTATACGTTGATAGATTGTTAATATATAATTATATTAACTTATTAAATCATTTCCGTTACTGAATAGTATTGTCGATCTCAAATTGCAGGTCATTCGACTATTATTCCGTTAGAAGAAAAAAATGCGATTATTACACGTAATTACAAAATACTAATTAATAAGCGATATACTTATGATTTATAATATAAAAAGTCTAATGATAATTTTAAGCTTTATATGGCTTTTTTTTATATAAAAAAGAGCCATAAAATAAAATTTTCTTTTTAATTTGTTGCAAAAATGGGCAGATTAAAAAAACAGAACGGCAAATCATCAATTAAAAAACCAAAAAAAACCACACAGTAATATATATTTTTTTTTTAAAAGTCAATTTACGATAATTTTCAATTACGTTTAAATCTACATATGTAAACTGCATGTTTCTTCAAAAAAAATTAGTCTTCAACGAACTTATTTACCTCGTGCATCAGAAGATCCTAATCGCAGACATAAAGTTGCAGAAAAAGTCATAGATCATAAAAACGAAGAACTACATGTTTGGTATTTAATACGATTTAAAGGTAATGAATGTATAATTACAACTTATTTCCCTCAAGGTATATTGTATAAATTGTTCCTCTTTAATATAGACATGACAAAACCACAATGGCTTCCAGAAAATAATATTTCCGGATGTAAACAACTTATCCGAGAATATTGGATAAGAGAGAATGCGATGAAAAAAATTGAAATTGATACTGGCAATAATTATACAAGTCAAAATGATTATCAAAGTTCAACAAATTCCGATTATTTCAAATATGATAAATCAAAGCCCTCGTATAACTCCCATGTTCAATCTTCCATAACTTGTATTGAATCTTGTGATCAATCTAGTCCATACTCTCATATCGAATCGTTTTCTCGATCAGGATCAGATGTTGAACCTCACAATTCTGCTACATCTTCAGATGATCGGATTTTACAAAAGGTAAATAAAAGTAAATAGTATCATGTTTAATTAAATTGATGAATTTCAAATTGAAGCAAAATTTTGTGAACCCAATCAAAGCCGCAAAACAAAGTTGCCGGGAACCTAACCACAAATAACTCTATACGTTATGGAAAAAATCGTCGAGCTTCTCTTAAAGTAGCCGCAATAACTGAAAACAAAGATAATCTTGAACCAAGTTAGCTTTTTCAGGTTCACATTTAAATTTGACAAAGAAACCACACCACTTATTTATATATGTACTCTTAAATAGATAATAATATTGTAACTTCTAAAGCGCCAGTCACTGAATCATCATCATCGGCGAAGTAAATTAAATTTTATTCTTTTGGTTCCTTTATCACAAAAAGTTATCGTTATTTAATTATTATTATTTTGTTTTAAAGAGGAAAAAATAAGCTTGACGCAAGAACTGAAACTTTTGTGGCGCAGCCACAACAACAATCAAGAGTTGAAAGAGTGCAATTGCAAAGTAAAGATTCACCAAAATCGGCTCTTAATAAATCATCATCAGAGACTACATCATCTTCCATGCAATCTCATTCTGCTGAAAATAATGGTAAGAAAAATATTTATGAAAGAAAATTTTTTTCACATATTAATATCGGATAATACTTAAATACTGTTTGTAGAATTGAGCAGAAATCTTTCAATTAACAGGTAAATTTCTATTTGAGAATTCTTATCTGTTTTAAATAACTTTGACTGATTTTTTTTTTAGCAATATAATATGGACAGGTAATATAATTAAAGGGTCATTGGTTCTTTTTGTTGCTTCTGTAAATATCACACCATTTCCCGGAAGATGTGGCAATGTAGCAACGCTGTAAGTTAATATTATTGTTTATTTTATTTAATATTTTTACTAAAAATTTTATACTGTAGAGAAAAAATTGCGAACGAAAAAGTACCAGAACTTTGCATTCAGCATTCTATACCACTGTCATATGCATTAAATCTAATTAAAGATAAAGAGAGTTCTAAATACTCGGTATTCGAAATAAAACAGTCGCAATCTATAAAATCAAGACACAATGTTTCGGTGGAAAAAACAATAATGATGCGAAGTAAAATTGTATGACTGAATCGTTTTTTATACTTGTTTATAGTATGATATTTTATTAATACTTTATTCACAGGTTGGAATGATTTGGTTCGAAGAATATAAAACGGCGTGGATTATCTTTCCTTATTGCGATAGAATATGCAACCTTTTGAAGTTACCAGATAAAAAGGAGTTAAAGTTGTTTGCGGTCTCTATATCTGTGCCTCCAAGATTTGATCCTTTACCGTTAAATTTTGAGCCGGATCCTTTAATATTGCCGAATGATGATAGATTTTCAGTGGAAAGAATAGTTAAAACGAAAGTTTTCCTCCGGCAAACCGGATATTATTCTCAATTACTACAATTATTGAGAACTTGTGAAGAAACAATTCATTTTACATGTTTTGGCAATGAGGAATTTCCCGATGTTCAGGAATTGCTCTTAGCTATGAAAGTTTTGGGTGCAATTTATGAAGAAAGTTATAGCGGAAATATTTCTTTCGTTTTTGTAATTGTTTATCTAATATCATTATATACATATTTAGCTTTCCCATGATTACTAACTATTTTATTAATTAGGTCCACCTTTTATTTTTGAAACAATTACTCTTTATGCGCAATTTTATGGATTTTAAAAGACTATTGAATTGCAAATTTCTTATATTTGGAACTGATTTGAAAGAATCTCCTGAACCAATTCGTTTTAAGGAACACTTACCGAAAGGTACGTAAATTTATAAAATATTGTATGTGAATTTCTCTAATGCAGTGTTCAATTATATAGGAGGAATGTTAACGGTTACTACGTATACGTTTCTACAAGAAGAACAAGTCTCTAGTAGAATCATGAGTGTTATTGATTATGTAATATTATTTTTTATCCGACTAATTGTTAATTACTTCATAAAATTATTTTTTTATCTAATTGTATTAATCCATTAATTAGCAACTAAAAACACAAAATGCTCCTTGGGATTATTTGCTATACGTAAATGTTACAGATAATTTAGCAGATATAAGCCAAAGTCAAAACAATGAACGGTAGGTCAATTATTAATTCAAATTATTTTTAATTAATTTAATTCTTAAATTTTGCAAATTTAGTGCACTTCGAGCTTGGCATGAAGCTATGGCAGCCATTGGTACAAGGAAGGCTAGATACATTAAGAACGAAGAAATTTTCATGCCCAATAAGGTACTCTAATTTTGTTAATACAAAAAATATGGCTGGTTATTAAAAGAATTAAATCTTTACTAGATACCTGAGGAGCCTCCTCCAATGGTTTCTAGTTTATACGGAACGATGTTGAGAATCCATACCATATATGCCGCTGAACGACGAGATTTTATATTAATCCGGCACGACGAAGAAGAAGAATTGGTGAATGAGCCCATTCAAGGGGTAAATACTTGTATATCTTATGAATGATCATTCTTTTTATTTTGTAACTTATATGTCTATAAAATTCAGGTCTGGAAAATGTCCCTTCAAGAATTTGAGCAGATTTTTGGTCCAAAGAAGCAATAATGTTTTTTTTGCCTTTTTTGCTTTTTTTGCAGATTTTGCTGAAAGATTTTGTGTACAATTAATTGATCTGAGCGATTTTGACTACGATCATCGTGCTTTTATAAACAAATTTCATATAGTACTTTTGATACACGTAAAGATAGATTACCAAATTGAACTTCATCTAATCAATATAGTCTTTACAGAGAATATTGAACGATTTTATATTGAATATTCAATCAAAGAATTGTCAATTATAAAATTCCTTTAAAGTTCATGGCCGTTTAACCGATAATATTATACAGTCTTTATTCTAAGGTAAGTAGTTCGTATACCAGGCTAAAATTACTGCATCTTATGATGAAGCGAAGTGTCTTGATAACCTTTGCTCTTTAATATCCCTAACTATACCACCTGAGCTGGAATAATAAGCCCAGATTAAAATTTTTAAAACTTTAACCGTCTAATACAGTAATACGTTGTAAATATCAAAGAAATCTAAAGGTTTTATTTTTCAGATTAATTTTACCTCATACATCAATTAAAGAATCTTGGCCAAATTTATTACAATCATCTCTTATCCAATTCCAATACCAATAACCGTATTCATTCTTATTAGTAAAAACTGGAACATTCTCTTTTACAATTTTTAAAATCTTGTCAGGAAAAATATCTTCCAAAGATTCCTTATTTAACCCAACACCGATCCTTAATTCCTTTAATCCAATTAAATCATCACCAGGAAATCTTGATATATACTCAAGGATAGTATGTAAATATAATTCATTAATTCTAGATCTATAATCAAAATGTAAACCTAAAATTTCTAATGATATCTTTTTTTCAACACAAGCTTTTAATAGATTACCTAAAATATGAGGAGAAAAATGTTCGTTATCAATATGTAAAACTTTAAGTGATAATGGTAATAATAAACCAAAATGATAAATATGCGAATATGTTAAATAACCTAATACATTAAAAGAAACGTCTAAAACTAGATGACTTAATTTAGTTAAATTTGAGATCCAATTCATATGAACAAATCCATTTCTCTCTATTCTTGTTGAAAGATAAATTATATTTGGAAATTGATAATTTAAACTATTTATAATTTTTGGATTATCTATAAAATCAGTTGTAAGAGATTTTAAATTATAATTAGGTAATTTAAGAAATGCGACTTGTAAATTATCACTCATATTCCTATTGCTTAAAAATACAAATTTTGTGATTGAAAGTTGTTCAGGTTCAGGAAATAAATCTTCAGACAATAATTTATCTTGATAACAATTAATAATAATTAAAAATCTTAAATTTTTAAATAATTTCAAACATTGAATTATTTTGCCATTAAACCCTATTCCTCTTAATTCTAAATGAGTTAAAGAATTAATTTGGGTTTTTAAAGCATCAAATATAGAAGAAGATTCTTCAAAGTTTAATATAGATATTTCACCTAAATATCTGAATAATCTAAGTCCATGCTGTAATTTGATCAATTCCGATATTTTAAAATAAGCTATATTATTCTCATCATGGTAAACTAGAATGTCCTTGTTCGCACATGATTTATAATCTATGAAATGAATATTATGACATCGAAATGTCAATAATTTAATAAAGAATTTTGAAATGTGTTCATTAATTTGTTCATTTATTTTTTCATTATCTAATGGATGAAAATAAATTCCAAGATGTTGTAAATCGGTGATTGCTTGTCGAAGTCTAAGAAATGATGAGAAATTCGGATAATTAAAACTTCCATATTTTCTTAACCCTATTTCAAAACTAAATAATCTGTTACATCTAGAAAAAAACATATCATAAATCTTTCCAACAAATAGATTTTCTTTTTCTTCATTTATAGATTTATGTTCAAAATAAGTTTTCTTGAACCAAGTTGAAATAGACTTGTTCACAAGATTACAATTAATTTCTCTAATATAACTTGGATAATCAAAAAATGCTGATTCAGTTTTTGAAATATTAAATCCTTCATAAATTAAATGTAATTTGTCGTTTTCAGATAAACATAAAATATATGTTTGGACTATTTTTGGTGCTTTAGAGAAGTCTCCATTTGATATGATTCCAAATGGGTTTCGCCAAAGAAATGGGATTGCTGTATAGGACCAAGCTTTATTTATTAACATGCAACAAAAAATAGATTTGATATCATCTTCTAAATAATTAATTATTTGTATTATACAGTCAGAGTTCATATTAACGAAAGTAGGGAAAAAAAAAAAAATCGCTGATCATTTCATATGAAAAAATTTAGATAAAAAATATCACGCGACTGCCATTGTGTAATGCTACGCACTGGTTGACACATGAATGATGTGAACGTAACAAATAAGTGTTAACTAACTGTCAATACATTTTTACAATATATGTCTCAGTAAGTTCACATAATATGCACTATAGCATTATTATGAAACTATTTATGAATATTATTTAATAAAGTACAAGAAAAGTGATTAACAGATTAAGGATTTTAAAATAACTTGTAATTTTTCCATATTATAATTTTTTTTTTTCAATTTAAATATTTACAATTTTTTAACAATAAATTGGATTAACTTTTGAGTTAAATTCAGCTACTTAAAGGTATTAACAAAAATTTTTGATAAATATAATTTGATGAATTTTATTAATCAAATACATTTAATTTATAAAAATTTTATAGTATTTTTTTTTAAAAAAAAATAAACAAAAATACTTGTAATTTCTAATAATAAAAATTTATAAACAATATTTATTAGTTACTTATTTTATTAATAATAACTAATTTATAATTTTTGATAACTGAATTTATATTTAAATTTACATATTTTTTATAATTTCATTTGTTTAAATAATAAGTATTTCAAACAAACAATATTTAATATAGTAAAATTTACAATTAATCTAAACAACATTTAGAAATCCTTTTATATTACTATTTTAGATATTAAGTTTTACTTAAAAGCCTTTACAACTTATAATTACACATGTAATTATAAAACAGTAAATTAATGAAAAAATACAAATTTATTTTTTAAAATGATTACCATAATTATTAGAACTGCCAATTAGTATCTAATTTAATTAGAAGTTAATTATTGTTTTTAATTTTATATATCTATTAATTTATAAACTTTTCAATTAGTCTATTAAAATTTATTAAAAAATTAATTATTATAAAAATATTATATATAAAACTTTACATTTAAGATATCTATTGGATTCCAGATGATATTATTAAATAACCATTTAAATAAAACATTCTTTTCAAGATATAATCCAAATAGTAATTTTAAAAACAGAATTATAAACTTATTATTACTATAATGAATCCTTTGAATTGAAATTAAAATTCATTATAGTAATAGATTTCATTATAGTAAATAGTAAATAAAAATAAAATTTTTAATTTATTATATTATATAATTAAAACCTGACATTTTTCTTTGTAATTATAAAAGTCTAATTCATTAAAATATAAATTTTAATATTGTAAAAATTTTACATATAATAAGTATCATGTAATAAAATTTTATTAATGATCTGTATAATTTCTTAAAAATTTGTTATATAATTAAAGATGTTAGTCTTAATTATTTTAATTAATTACAACCCTATTACTATATATGTTTAATAAGTTGCAATCTGTTACAATATATAAAATTTTTGTATTATAACATTACAGCTAACATTTTTAGCTATAGTAAAAATCTACATTATAGCTTAAAGTATAAAGATTTTAATATAAAATTCACTATATCAAAAATTATTAATTATAAAAAAATTTGTATTAAAACTTTTCTTTATTATAGCAAATTATTTATTATACAAAAATTCATTATAGTAAAGATGAACTGTACTTTAAAAAATATTAAAATATTATAATTCTTTATTAAAATAAGCAGTTTAATTGTATATATTAATTCATTATAATATAGTTTAATTTACTTTAATTTCTTTACTTCAATATAATTAGTAACTACAGTCAAAGCTCGTTATAGTGAATCTCATTATAGTGAACATTAAGTAAAATCGCATTATAGTGACTTATTGATTTTTTTCTTTATAATTAATTTCTCTCAATATAGTGAATTTTCTTAATAAATCTCGTTATAATGAAAAAAAGGGAAAAAATTACATAGTGGAACGGAAAGTTCACTATAATGAGCTTTGACTGTATACAGTGTAAATTTTAAATTAAACTTATATTTTTATTAGGATCCCAGACATCACATATATAATTCATAACTGATCTGCATAAATTTAAGTACTTTTTGCTCCTGCTAAAATAGACCTGATTTGCTAAAAATCAAATTATTACATTTCAAATTTATACTAATTTGCTAAAACTCAAAATATGAGTTAATAATCTTTTTTTTTATTATCAATAAAAAAATAAATGATTAATATAAATTAAACTGCCAATTTTTATAATTAAAATATGTAGATTATAGATAAAATAATAATTAATAAAAATAATAAATTAAATAAATAATTATTAAAAAATAAAATGGTGCGAAACTAAACGAATGGTTTTTGGCCCGCATTATGCTTAATTTTGGCCGGAATTATACTTAATTTTGGCCAAAATATGACCCGGACCCCGAAACTAATATTTTTAAAAATATTATTTATAAAGTTAAAAAAAAAGGATAAGTTAAATTTAAAAAAAAATACCAATTTGCTCAAATATAAAATATGACTTTGTAAAATCAATACAATTTGCTAAAACTCATAATTATGACTATTAATTAATTTTCAATCAATTTGCTTTATCTAAAATTATGAGTTTAACCTAATTTTGATTGAATTTGCTAAAACTCAAATGTGAGTTATATATGTGATGTCTGGGGTCCTTTTTTATTTATAAGAAAATACAGTTTAACAATTATACTAGAATTGATTAAATCAGTATTAAACTTCTATTTATTATATATATTTAGTAAAATTATTTATTTAAAATTTAATTTTACCTTTACTTTTGAAATTAAATATCTTTTTATTAGGTAAATTTTTTTTATATATTTTTTACTAAAATTTTTTAATTTTAATAAAATAGAATTTTATAATAATTCTTTAAAAAATACTTTTCTTTAAATTAAAAGAATAGTATTTGTATTAATTAAACTTCTGATTATTGCCATTTTCAAATTAGTGTAATTTTCTTATTAGTTATTTTTTTAAAAAAATTGATATTTACAAATTTGAAAAATACAGATTTTTTCTAAAATCTTGAGAAATCTTCAGTTATTTAAATAATTTCTTTTGAAAATATGGTACTTTACAGAAACTTCAAGATCGTAGTGAAGGCTTAATGCGCAGTAACTGCGTTATAAATATATAGTGACCACATTATGTAATTATAAAGAAATTACATATATGCAGTTACTACGCATTAAGCCTTCACTACAATCTTGAAGTTTCTGTAAAGTAGTATTACACAAATTTTAACCTTTATTTGTAAAAAAAACTACTTAAATAATTGAAATTTCTGCATAAATTCATTTAAAATTGCTAATAATCAACTCTTTTTTATATAGTCATCCAAAAAATTCTGGTTTTTCAGATTTATAAATACTGATTACCTTAAATAAGTAATATATATGAATTGTACTAATTTGAAAATAGCGATAAACTAAACAGATTTTAATTTTAATACTTTATAAAAAGTAATTTAATTTTAAAATATAAAATTAATTTATATATATTTTTTTCTTATATAATTTATTAATTTTCAAGATCACATCTATAATAAATTAATTAAAAAGAAAAATAATAATTTATTGATTTTAAATAATCTGATATTTAAAAAGTAAAAAAACTATTATAACTATTAGATTTTTTTTATTATAATAATTTTAATAATATGAATTAAATTAATATAGTTTAAAGTTTTATTTGATAATACTAAAAATATTTAAGTATAATTATTTGAAAATAAAGTTTTAATAATTAAATTATTAAAAATATTTTTAATTACAACTTGAAATTTTTTATGCTTTTTATATTTTTTAAATTTTAAATTATTAAAAACTAAAAATATTATTAATTCTAATCAAAAAAAAATTAACTGAAAAAAAATTATATTAATTTTAGTACAATTTAGTTTTATAATTTAATCAGAAATTATGTAATTCTACTTATTAGTTAATTTCTTTTTAGTTAAATATAATTATTTTTTAATTATAAATTTTATCATATATATATATACATTATATTTTCTAATATCAAGTATGGGGTAAGATTGCTGGAGAAACTAAGGGGTTTTAGCAAGTTGGCGAAATGCTGAAATGGTGAAATTTTGCCAAAACTATATGAAAATCTTATTAAAAAGTTGGTGAAATTCTGGAGAAAAGTGAAACCTGACGAAACTTATTATAAATGCTGAAATTACTGAAATCTTGCCGAAACTATAATAAAACTATAGTAAAATCTTGGAGAAACTAATCGTAGAATTTTGGAGAGGTTTAGACAAGCAACCTTAATATAGGGTTGTAAACATTGAAATATAAACTAACATAAGTCAAGATATAACTGAATAGTTACCTAAAATTTATATAATGTAACTGGTAATTATCCTTAATATAAGGAATGTCTGCAACTCTAATTAAATATTCCTTAAAATCAAATTGGATTAAAAATAATTATATATAAAATACTAATAAAAAAACTTTTAAAATTAAACACTTTTCTAATTCTTAATTTTTAAAAAATATAGTATAATATTTAGAGTGAATTTATTTACTGCATCCTACATTACAAAGCATCCTTCCTTTTTTGTAAATTATTTATATCAATCTTTAGTTTATACACTGCACCTCCCTTAAAATGCCAAATGGTAAACATAAAAATATATATAAATTTATAATGCAGGGTGTGGTGAATACATTATTTCTAATATTTAAGTTCTATAAATATGCAAATTAAGTAAACTTTTAACATTTTAAAAAAATATTAAAATATATAAATTAATTATTTTATATAATATAAATTTTTTTAAAATTAAGTATTAAGCGACACAACATTAAAAAATTGGTTCTTATACCTGCCAACCTAGTTTTGTGAAATTTTACAGAGAAAATTTTATATGCTAGTATTTATAATTAGCAGGTTAATTTTGGATTACCATTTTACTATAAAATTTTTAAATAAAATTACTACAGCCGACCTTAAAATTTTGAATTTATAAAACAAGAACCAATTTTTTAATGTTGAGCTGCCTTATAACTAAAATTCTTATATTATAAAATTGTTGTACAATTAACTCTTTTTATAATTATATATTTAAAATAGTTTATATTAAATAATTAATTATAAAGAGATATAATTATATAAATATTTCTTATAATATAAATTTAATGAATTTAAAAGTTATAATTCCATTAATATTAATTATAAAAAAATGATTTTATTATTATTTAATTTATTTTATTACTATAAATTTAATGATATAAATTTTATCATAATCTAATTATTTTAAATTAATTATAAAAAAATGATTTTGCTATTATTTAATTTATATTATTTAGATAAATCTAATAATATAAATTTTATCAAAATCTAATTATTAAATCAATTTTAATTATTAAATTCTTTTTGAATTGCAATTTTATAATATTAATTATAAAGAGATAATTTTACTACTATTTATTAAAATATATTTAATAATAAAAATTTTATTAAAATCTAATCATTAAATCAGAAGTTATTTATAATTTTGCATTTATAAATTTTTTTATATATATAAATTATTTTTAAATTTACAGTTTAATCAATTTTAATATTAATTTTATGATTTATTATTTTTAAAAATAAGAAAACTAATAGAAAAACTTTACAAAATGCAAGTATTTATTTAATATATAATTGTTATAACTTTTAGAAATATAGTAAAAGCTTAAATTTTACAATAGTAAAATACTTTTAGTAATATATAGCTTCTTTAAAACTGAAAATTTTTAGTTCAAATAAATTTAGATAAAAAATCTAAGTTTTTTTTTAGTTAAAGAATTGGTAAATGAAAAATATAATTGATTTTATTTATCTTAGTACTTTATATATACAGTCGTCCTCCCATATAGTCACCCCCTGTATAATCACAACTCCCTTATAAGCACATTTACATTAATCCCAAGTTACTAATAAACTTATTAAAAAAACCTTCCCTTTAATCACATCATATATAATTTTTATAGTCACACCATTTTTTTTTTGGTCCTGAAGGGTGTGATTATATGGGAGGATGACTGTATATAATTTTTTCAATTTTATTATAATGCTAATTTTTAATATTTTATTAAATAACTCATTAATTAATAATTATAAAAGAATAAAACTACCACTATTTAATTTAATAAAATAATTTTAATAGGTTATATTATATTTTTTATAATTATTAGATATTAAGTAATTTAATATCATATTTTTTATATAATCATAATTACAAATAAAATTTTTTAATATAAGATTTTTAAAAATAAATATAATAAATTAAATTAAAAAAAATGTTAAAAATATTTTAGTAAAAAAATAATAAAGTAGAAAGTATTAATAAAGAATATAGTAATAAAAAAATACTGTTAATAGTAATAGTAAAAATATTTGTAATAATAAAACTTGCAAAAGTAGCAGTAATAGTAATAATAATAGTAATTATAAAGAGTAATTATATAAAATAGATTTAATAATAAAGTATTTTAAATATTTAATTAATATAATTAATTATATAATAAAATGTAATTATAATAAAAGTAATTATAGAAAAAATTAATTGTATTTATTATAGTTATATTATACTCTATTTTTTTCTTTATATTTAACTGTTTATATAATATATTAAAGTAATTTTTTAGGTATTTTTATCAGAATAGTATAATAAATTATTATAAAAATAAGTACAGTTTATTCTCTCTATAGTGAATTTTTATATAATGAATAACTTACTATAATGAAGAAAAGTTCAGGTACAGATTTTTTATATATATAATAAAATGACTTTTAGTATAATGAATTTCTCACTATAACAAATTTTAATCTCCAGCCTATAGGATTCACTATAGTGAAGGTGAACTGTATAACTATAAATTTAGTTATATTTATATAAATAAAAGACCAATAAAATGGAATCAAATTACCTGATTTTTAAATTTAGTAAACTTTGCTAAAATACTAAAAAATTTATATTTTCTGAAAATAGCTATTTAAACTATTTATTAAAGGTAAAAAGCTTTTTCCATTAATTAGAAAACTTGATTATTACTAAAAAATTATACAAAAAAAGTACAATTAGAATGTACAATTATTAATATAATCAGTATATTAATCAATAATTTTATAAACAGGCCATTTGGTAAATTACTTTATAATTTTTTTAAACCATTTGATACAATAATTTTTTAAATAATAAAAAATTTTTTATCATCTTATAAAATCCAAATTCTAACAAATAAAAAATTAAGTAAAAGTTATGAAAAGCAGCTGTTAATAAAACCATAAATAATAATATATATATTATTTTTAACTATAAATATTTTTTGTTTACTATTTTACTTGTTAGATTTTCAAAGCTCAAATATTTTATGTTTAATAATGAACACCTTTTTTTAAATTTATTCAAAATTTTCTCTTGATGATAATCAATATCAGTACAGTATAGACTGTATAGTTTATGTAATGATTGAAAAAAATCAATAAATTAAATAATAATAACAATAGTAGTCTATTTTACAGTATTGTGCTATAAAAAATTATAATTGTTTTGATAAAACAGTACAAGCATGTCCAACAACAAATGTTCCGGGTGGTGTATGACCTTCTCTATCTATTATATCAGCAATAGTACTCACAGTTCCTCTTATTTCTCTTTGATCCATAAAACTCGCTTTTTCTATTACAACACAAGGACAATCTGACGGATAATTACCTTTCTCCATTAAATCTTTGGTTATATCTCTAATTCTATGACAAGCCATTAAAAATACAGTAGTACGTATTGGATTATAAGCTGGAATTTCCGGTATGGTATTCTTTTTACCAGTTCCCGTGCAAACAAGGAATTGAGATGCAACACCCCGATGTGTAACAGGAATATTTGCTAATAATGGAGCAGACATACATGATGAAACACCAGGAATTACTTGTGGGATATAACCATGAGATTGATAAAAGAGAAATTCTTCTCCACCACGACCAAATAAAAATGGATCTAAAAAAAAAACTCATAAGAAAATTTCGAAAGAATAAAAAAGAAAAAAACAATTTTTTTTTTATAATTATTACTTACCACCCTGCTTTAATCTGACAACATATTTTCCAAGATTTAAAGCATCAAGACCAACACGATTAAGTTCAGCTTGAGCGGCTTCAACATTAGCACAAAATTTCTTTGCAGCAATAAAAACTTCAGTATGTTTTGGAATCAATTCTAATACTTCTTCAGATACAAGTTTATCGGATAATATTAAATCAGCTTCTTGAATTGCTTGATACGCGGAAAGTGTTAATAATTTTGGATCACCGGGTCCTGCACCAACAAGTCGGATATTTCCGCGTTTGTTGCTGTGCGACAGCTTATTAGTCACATGACACAAATTTTGTGTGTTATCATTGTTATCATTGTTATCATTGATGACGCAATCTTTTTTTTGCATGAGATGGTCTTGTAAAAATTCCGATAATTCGTCCAATTTTAGTTCTTCCGCAGCTTCGAGAAGCTCGATTATATCATCCCTAGTTCTATTTTCCATAGATATTTTTCCAGTATACATAAATCTAAAAAAAAAAAAAAAAAAAAAAAATAAGATTTATTAATATTATAAAAAGAAAAGAAAAGAAAAAAGAAAAGAAAGAAAGAAAAAAAAGAGTTTACATTATTATTATCATTCTTCAAAACATTCTCAAAATATGAAGAATTAATTTTTAATAAAATAGAATGTGCTTTAAAAGTTTTTATTATTGATGATGATTTATTACCCCCAACAAAAATGGTCGTATTAAATTCATCATCATCATCTAATAGTTTACCGATTCTTAAAGAAAAGTTTGATAATAGTTTATTATTTGACATTTTTGTATGAATGATTTTTTTTTTTTATGATTCAAAAAAATTTTTAGGAAATTTGAACGGGATAAAAAACGGCCTTTTTTATAAATCATTTTTTATATAGGTAAAGGATCTTAACCATACATTGAATAATTTGTAATTAAATTATATAATTTGATAGGATGCAATATGCTTATCATTAGTTTTTTGTGACATTCTGTTATCAATAACACATGTATTGATTCGCCATATTAATAATACAGTAAAAAAAAAAAATTATTTTTATAGTATGATAAGAAAAACATTGTCTATCAGTGAATTTGCATAACAAACAGAGATTTTTAAGGTAACATATAAACCGAAAAAGAAATTCTTTTTTAACGAATAATAAAGAATGAATGCGGGGATTACGGCGAAAAAAAAAAGATACAAGTTATAATCTTATCATTATCTTATCAAATATATTTGATTTATTACCAATAGAAGATAATGCATGGAAACGCGGGATAATAAGGATGGAAAAGCAATGGATTGATCTAGATTTTAGACAATCGTTTAATTGTAAATATTTTGAGAATCAAAAAAAAAATTTAATTATAAACGAAGCAAGAAAAAAAAAAGATACTAAATAAGGAGCAAACCGGAAAAAAAAAATCTTTGATCATCTTTCCGCCAATTCCGTTAATAAAAAATTGATGTTGATAAAGATTAAAGAAGAGAAAATCTTGTTGCTTGAATAAGAAATCCTGTAAATTTTCTTTAATTACTTGTATAGCAGTTAAAGCACTGATTACAGTAAGTAGATTTAGAATGCTTCTATTTTTCGAAAAAGATCTTCTTTAAAGTACTCTCCCTTAAATAGTATAGATATATAGATAGAATTGGAAACAACCCCTAATTTATTTGCTGATAGCCTGATAGATAATATTGAGCTTAATTCCACGGAATTTCTATGGCATCAATCAGCCAATAAAATTAATCTTGCACGTGAATTCTCAATGCCAATCAGATTATTTTCAATCTTTTGACACTACACTTTTTTTTTACTCTCATCCTCTCATTACTTTTCAGATAATTTCTACTAACATGTCAAGAGATATTTCCAAAAAGATAGAACAATATGAAAAATTTCTTCATGATAAACTTGAAGTAGATTTGAAACAAACTTGGGATTTACGAGAAAAAATTTATGAAGAAATTTCTGATTAGTAAATAATAATTTTTTTTCTTTTTTTTTTTTTTTTTTTTTAAAAAAAAGAAAATCATACATACATAATTTTTTTTTTTATATATATGTAGACCTGATACAACATATATTTACGTAAATATAGGATTCGGATTTCATGTTCAATTTACATTAGATGAAGCCATCGAATTTATTAATAAAAAGGAAATTTTATTACAAAAGTAAATTAATTTTTTTGATTTTACTTAATTGGACACTTGAGTAGACTAAAGGTGTTGGTGGATTAATGGTGAAGAACTATGAAGAAAATTATTTTAAATTTTTTTTTCTTTTTTTTATAGAAAATCTGATCAATATACTCAAGACATTGCGAAAATAAATGCGCATATTAAAGTGGTAAAGTTTAATTTTTAATATTTATGTCACGAAAGGTTTTCGCGGGAAAAATTGGGTCTTTAAATATTTTATACATTAGATTAATTAAAGTCATTTATTTCAGGTATATGAAGCTATTTCAGAAATTTTAAATCTAGAAAAAGGTGAAGAGGCTAATAAATAAATGATGCAAGATAAGTCATAAGGTATTAGACTAATCGTATAATCTGATCAGATAAGAAAAATATATAATTATTGTAAGAGAAGAATTTTAAAAAAAATTGATCAATTCCGAAATAAATAAAAAAAAACAGATCAAGATTGATAGAATCAATTTTCCCGTGCATTTATACATATATTTATAATATATACGTTATTTATATTATGAAGATATTGTAAATTTTTACAAGTACAAAATAAACATTATGTAATGTTAAATTGTTTTCTCAATTTTTTGATGAACGCCAGAATGAAATGACGCGTTCTCATTTTACATTAATCATTTTGAGTTGCAGTTAATGCGGGTAACCGATTGTTTCTCTTTATTGTTACGTGATTTAACATTAAATGCGAGGTCAATTTCTCAAAAAAGCACAGTTTCAACCCGTTTCTTTAGAATTGAATTATTTCATGCTTAATAATTGTAAAATAATTAGATAATGCTAAGATAGATAGATAGATAAATGCATTGAAAATCACGGATTAATGAAAGATTATGTATGATTCGCGCATACAATCAAATTTTTTTTTTTTTACTTCTAATAAAATGGGGATTTTGTTTTTTTTTTATCAAAATTCCCATCGCTTTGTTTATTTTATTTTTTTTTTAAAGTTTTTTTTTCGACTGTAAGTCTGTAACATTGTGTTACTCCTCCAAAATAATTTGTACATAATCATGCGTTTTGAAAAAAATTCTTGTATTAATCCTTGAAATAAAATTTTTTTTCCTTTGTTCTATATTAGTTTAAATTGAGTAAACAATTAAATGAAAGCAGTCCTCAATTGCTTTTTTAAAAAAATATTCACATGAACGTCCCTAATTCATAATATAAATGTTATTCAATGAAAGAAAAATGTTTGTATTTTAAGTCAGCTGCTCAACTTGGACAAATTGGATCAACAATATACCTCTATTTATCAATCTATATAAACATTAACAAGTTTTTTTTTTTTTTTTTTTTTCTTCACCTTTCAAAACATGAACCAAAGAAGTAATGATCGAAATCGTAATCGTGATCGTAATCTTAATTCAAATTCCATAAGGAGAGAATCTTCATTTCATCCATATTGGAATGCTATAACATATTATTTTACTCGTTCTTCTACATCTACGTCATCGATACCTCAAGTAATTTCACCATCACCATCACCTTCTCCTCCTTTATTATTTCCTATACAACCACCACCTCAAAATCCATATTATACTCCAAATCCTATTAATACTCCTTATGTAGTTTGTGATAATTCAATTTTTCCTTTAAATTTTACTATAGAATCAATAAATAATCTTGCAAATATTTTCAGGTATTACCTAAATGGTGATGATAACGTGGAATCGCGTTCATCAAATTCATCTAATTCATCTAATTCATCTAATTCATCAAATTCGTCAAGATCATCATCACGTCAAGCTGTTGCTTATCGGTCATCTAGCACATTTAGTACATTTAGCACATCTAGCAGTATAAGTCACGTTACTTCTGTTTATGATGATGATGAATCATATAATGGGATCAAAGGGAAAGGATGCAATTTTTCACATAACACGTGCACAGAATTATCACCAAGGATTTCATCGTCCACATTAAATTTCAATCTAAGTCCATCATCCTCACTTAATCTCAATTTAAACTCATCATCCTCACTTAATTTCAATATATCCTCATCTAATTTTAATCTAAATTCTTTTCCCATACCATCCCCTCTTAATATCAAACTAAATTCATCATCATCCTCGTATAATTTCAACCTAAATTCATCATCATCCTCGTATAATTCCAATCTAAATTCATCATCCTCGTATAATTTCAATTCAAATTCATCATCATCATCATATAATTTTAATCTAAATACTTTTCCTTATACATTATCATCATTAGAAAGGTATGAGATTCAAATTCGTATAGAAGGTAAAATTACATCAACAAATATAATTTCACCACGTCAATTAAATAAATTATTGATAAAATGTAAAAAAGATCATAAAACGAGAACGAATTCTCAAGGTAATCTTTATTGTAAAAAAAAGAAGAATGTTTATCATTATCATAATTTAAGTAATGGTAGTTTCTATTCTAAGAGGGAAGATGGTTCTTCTATTTATGTTGATCAATCTGGTGAAATTATCTATAAAACTAAAGAACAAGAAAATTCGATTAATTAATAATGATATATATATAGTAGATAGATTAAAGATAAATATGTTAGAGATATATATATATATATACACTATATATGAGTATTTTTTTTTTCTTTTTTGACTTTCAATTCGTAAATATGATAAATATGATAAATAGTAAATATGATAAATAGTAAATGTGTTAGATAGTAAATTTGATAAATAGTAAATATGTTAGATAGTAAATATGATAAATAGTAAATATTATAAATAGTAAAATATATTAGTAAATATGTTAGATAGTAAATATATAAATCATGTATATATTAAATCAGTAATAAATAAATGATTTAAATTTTTGATTACATACTTTATAATTCCAAGAAAATGTAAATAAATTGAATAACGAGGCTCAAATCTCAATAGTTGATCTTTTGAATCAAATGACCTAATAACAATAAACAATCGTGTCAAAAGATGTCAAATAAGTATAAATCCAAAGTAAGAGAAAAACTTTAGAATAAAGAACAATCATTTTTTTGAACACTCAGTTCGATATCCCGTAATCGTTCTCAATGATGATGATGATGGACTAATCTATTTTACGACTGATGTCGGAATAAATATATAGCGCTAAAAAACGACGCTACAAAAACGGCTGATCAAGATTTAAGTATATAACAACCCCAATGCGTTATAGCAACCTTTGGTAAGAGAAATATACTATATTCGCCAACCACTTATTCTATACTCATGATCGTTCGCGAGGTCGTATCTCGCAATGATGAATCATCATATATAGCAAATTATAACAGAAAACCCAACAATACGCAATGAAGACCCAATGAATACTCAATGTACGCAATGAAGATCAATGAAGACTCAATGTACGCAATGAGGACCAATGAAGACTCAATGTACCCAATGAAGACCTAATGAATACCCAGTGTACGCAATGAAGACTAATGAAGACCCAATGTACCTTAATGTTAAAAGCTTATGAACAATTTTTGGTAAACGTCGATAATGCCCCCAAAGTATTATACATAGGGGTATAAATAATCGAAAATCATAGCCCCCAAAATGTTATACATTTGAATTCAATAAGAGTATAAATAATCGATAATCGTATCCCCAAATTTGTTATAAAAGTATAAATAAATGAAATACCAATCGGTCCTCACCGTGTCAATTGAACTCATATAAGTGTATAATTAACCTTTGATGGTAAATCTGTAATCGTCAGTAAGGTCGTTATCATGACTGAATCATTTCTCATGTAGCAAATTATACCTGAAAAAAAACCCCCTCAAAACAATACATAAACCTTTGATAATCAAAAATGCCAATCGGTAAATCTCTTATTCGATAAATCTTTAATTGTCCGTAAAGTTCATATCTCATATATTCATCTAATTTAAAAAGAAAATCTTTTTATATATTTTTTTAAAAAAAAGAACCCCCAAATAATACAAGAATAATATTATGATTTGTATAATTTTTATTGTAAATTATATAAATATAAATTATATAAATTATAAAAAGTTTCAATTGTTTCAATTCATATAAATTAATAATAAAATTATTATATTTAACGCATGTAGGCATATTCAGGTGGAGAAAATAATCCATTTGAAAATAATAAAATAGCTAAAATAAAACTAAAACATGCTGAAACATTTGCAAATATAAAACTAATATCATATTTTGCCCCATAATAAAATTTTGATGACATAGTAAAAAGATGAGCAATTAAAAATATTGATGTAAATTGTAATAAAGCTGTTTGTTATAATAAATAAATAAAATAATTTAATAAATGTTAAAAAAATAAAATAAATTTTATCAAATATATAAAAAAGATAATTACCATGAAGTATAAACATTGAAGAAATTCTTTGCCATGATCTTTCTCTTTTTAATCTTCCTCCTATTAGAACTCCAATTAAATCAAACCATACTAAACCTCCTATAATTGTAGCTAATATCATTGTTAATGCAGCTAAACCCCATTCTTCACAAAAATATTCTTCTTTACAGTCATCATCTGATTGTGATGGAAAAGGCCGACAATCATCATTAAAGAATGAATAAGAGCATAACTATGAATAAAAATATAATTAAAAAAATTAAATATCCGTACAAAAAAAAAAAAAGCCGATAAAAACCGATAAATCCGGTAAAAACCGATAAAACCAATAAAATTTTTGTACTTACTCTAAATAAACCAAAATTTTGATGCATATGAACTGGTGGCAAAGTTACATAGATCCTAAAAATATACATACATTTTAGAAAAAAAAAAAAACCATGAATCATCATTACAAACAAATTAACTGAAAACTTACCAATTTGGTAATAACAAAGCTGATAAATTAAAAGCACAAGAAACTGTGAACAATAAAGATATTAAAGAATAAGCAGCTAATGTAGGCATTTTCTCATTAAATAGTAAGAATAAGATCAAAAAAGGAGCAAAAAAAAGTGTCAAAAAAGGTTGTTTAAAAAAAGGCGGAAAGGAAAGGTTAAATTAGTAAACTGATTTGATTCAAAATAAAAATACCGGATTTAGTGAACCTTAACACCGATCATTTTTTTAATGAATCAAAATTGACATTGACATGTGAAGTAACATGTAATAAATGTAATAAATGTAATACATGATAGCCAATAGAATACTTTTCCGCAGTTTATTAAAAGACGAATCATAATTCAAAGATTCAGCCAAAATAGATGGCAACGTAAAACATAAAGATTTATATGGATTTTACGGATCACAGATATCAGACACACTTTACCTAAAACTATAAATATCAGCAGATTGAGATTATATCATGAATCCAAATTAGGTATCCCTTTCTTTTGCTATATTATTCATGAAGATCCACAACAGGTTCTAGATAACCATAAGAGACATTATCCAAACCTGATTTTTTTTTTTTTTTTTTTTTTTAGTTCGATATATACCGAGGGTTTGCTAGAATTCTTTGTAAAAATAAATACAATATACCGATTCCAATCAATAAAGAAAAAAAGCGCCTTTTATCTGCGTAAATTGCGTAAATTGCATTTATATGTATAATTATTATTCCATTGTAGCTTAAAAATATGTTGTATGATTATAAATGCATAATTAAGGGAAAAAAACTGTTTAATGGATATATAAGATTATTTTATATATTAAATATAATTAAAGGAAAGAAATTAATTAATCTTTGTATACCTCATTTGGGGAGAAATTTTATATATAAAAAATAAAAAAAAAAAAACATTTGAACCAATTTAAAATGCAGCAAGTTCAATCGGAGTAAGAAAAAAATCATAAAAATAAATTAATGGTACATCATAAACCAATATGAATTTGTTCTCTGATCACCAATTTTAATTATCATAAATATTTTTATAATAATTTACGAAAAAAGTTTCATATAAAAGAAAAAAATGTCTATTGTCAAAGAATTTTATTTATAGTAATTCAATATTACACGAACTTGGAAAGAAATTCATATTTAATGTGACACAACATTAAAAATTCACCTAAAAAGTGGTGTTAATGTAAAAACATAATATATCACAATACTACGCCTCGCGTTTTCTTTACCATTTCAATTAAACAAATTTAACAGAACCAGAACAAAGATACAAAGATCAAAATCTATTAATAATCTCAATTAACATGTTTTAAGATTTATATTTAGGATTATTAAGTAATAAGATCATCATAAATTAATGATTGATTAAACTGGGTAATCCGATTGAGCCAAGCCATTCTTTTACAACTTTAAAACCGGGTATTTGTAAATAATTACCAAGTCTGTTAATTTACATGTTACAAAAATATTATAATGATTTTCAACTTTAAAAATATATACAATATATAAAACATGTAATCACGTACAATATTTAAAAATTTTATCCTTAATATTGTTAATTTTGTGGCTTTACGTTGAGTGTGGCTTTGCTCAAAAAAAAAAAAAAATTATTTCGGAGGAGGACAAAAGATATAAAAGACAATAAATTGGTTAAATTGGTTCTTGGACCATGGTTACCGAAAGTTAGGATAAATTTAATGTGACAGAATTTCAAAAAGGGTTAAACCAAAAAAATTTTTTTTTTTTTCATCCTTTGTTCCTTTTTATGAAACACATTAGTGTGTATTATGTGTATTTAACTGCACAGCCATTCATGTAATTTAATACATATACATGTTTATTACGTCAAGCCACTTCATTAATCAATTTCTATAGAGAAATGCTATTTAATTGATTAAAAAAAGATTTCATTGAATTCCAAGAAGGTTTATAGTACAACGGGGGATTTTGAACTTTATTACTTTAGAATTAGAAATTAATTACTGATTCTATTTTATTTATTTTATTATAATCATTCCATTTATTCCATTTGGTCTATTTATGTATATTTTATAAACCGATCCCAAGGAACATAAACTTTTGCGCCAAGAATGAATTTCCAAAAAATATTGAAAGAAAATAAAAAAAGAAAAAACAAATAAAAAAAAAAAAAATAATAAAAATTTTTTTTTTTTTCCCTTAAAAAAAATTATGTAATTAATGAAACTGATGGCTTGAGAAACAATATTAAAATTGAATTGAACAAATGTTGAAGGCGTGTTTCTTTATTTCAAAACCGGTTTTAAAGAAGATCAAAAAAGTTAAATCTATTCAATAAACTTATATATTCGCTTGACAATTGAATAAAAATCTTTCTATTGTAATTGTAGATCGGATCAGACTTCACGAGATTAAGTGATTTCTCTAGTCAGTTTTTTGTTTCACAACCTTGAATGAAAGTCATTTAAAGGTCTCGTGTAAAAAAAAAAAAAATTTTTTTTTTATTATATATGTACATTGTAAGCATTTAATAATTTTTTATACTTTCCAAATTTGGACTGAAATTCTTTTAATGAACCGATTTCTCGGATTGATCTTTTTTTTTTAAATGAAAGGTTGTCAAATCGTACGAACAATTATGTAACTTCAAATAGGACATTTATATCATCATATATTGTCTTTTTTTATATCTTGTAATTTTTTTTTATGTATAAATATAACTCGTTTTTGTCTTGAAAAAATTTTTTTTTTTTATTATTATTATTGCGCCATAAAAGATTTGTCGATTATATTATCTTTTTATATATATAAAATACAATTTTTCTTCTTTTTCATTCTTCTTATTTTTCTCATTCTTCATTCTTCTCATTCTTCTCATACTTCTCATTCTTCTCAATCTTTCCAATCTTTCCAATCTTTTCAATCTTCTCAATAATAAAGATGGAAACCGAATTTTCCTATCAGTCATTAAACTCTGTTCAAGGTCGTTGTTTAGCTACACAAATTCCACCGGAAATTTTTATAAATATATGTCAGGATCTTCCACCAACAGATCTTCTTTCGCTCGCTAGAGTTTGTAAAAAATTTTATTCATACTTGTGTTCAACAAATTCAACTACAACTCAAGAAATATGGAAGAATTCACGTTTGACATTTTTACCTTTCGTTCAAATGCCTCCCCCTGAAGGTATGATGGAATTACAATATGTTAAACTTGTTACCGAAAGAGGTTGTCAATTTTGTAAAAAACCCAGAATAAGAAAAGTTTATTGGGCTTTTCTTGTAAGATGTTGTAGAAAATGTTTAGAAGATCGAACAATTAGGTAAATAATTTTTCTTTTTATACATTGTTTCATTTTTCTAATTTGGTAGATTTTTTTTTTTTTTAAAAAAAAATGAAAATTATTGTCAAAATCGGATGTTCCGAAACTTTTCCCGTAAATCACATGATTGATAAATTCATTTTTTTTTTTTTTTACTTTTAGGTTAGATCAAATTCGACATCATTTACAATCCCCAAATTTGATTCCCGATGATTTTCTTAGTGGATTAACTTTTACTACAGGATTTTATAAATCTGGATGGGATCGAAGTCCTAAACATCGACCAGCAAATTTATATTGGATACAAAATGTTAATGATACATATGCTGAATATATAAAATTAGATGTTAATGGAAGACGTGAATGGATTAAAAGAAAACGTGAAGAAGGCAAAATTAAAATGGAAGAAGTTGTTAAAAGAGAGATTGAACATGAAAATGAATATTGGACTAAAACAATGGAAAATTCAAAAAAACGAGATGATAGAGCTTCAATGATTGATTATTTAATTAGAAAGGAAAAGAATGAATACGGATTTCCAAGATTTAAAATGTCTATCGTTGAACAATGTTCTACTTATAATAAAGCAATGATGTCAACTTCTACGAGTCCTTTCACCGAACGTGCATGGATTGGATTTCGTAATAAATTAATTCCTGAATATACACAATTATTCTCATCTTTAAGAATGCAAAGACAAGAAACTGAAAGACATTTATCCCCTGATGTTGCAATTCAAACACGTCAAATGGATATCGTTAAAACAATCTTTGAATTATTACGACCTGAAGGTGAACAACGACAATTTTCTAATACAGTTACAAATACTACTGTAAATCAACAACAACAACAACAACAACAAAATACATCTTCAGATTCTGATAATAATGAACCTTCAGAAAATGGGAATCAAATTAAAAATAATAATAATTTCGTATTTGAGAATTTTTTGATAAAATATTTACCTTGGTGTCCTACATTTCGGAATCCCCCATTTGTGAATAAAGATCCAAGAATTCTTTGGGATGATGATTTTCTTATGAGTGTTTTAATACCACAACTTCGGGAAGAAGCATTATATTTAAAAAATTATCCCGCTCCTATTGATACAGTTTGTGGTGCATTCCTTCATGGGGGATTAAATAATAAACGAGTTTTCGGATGTAAATTATGTATAAATAATAATAATAATAATAATACTCAAGACATTCCACAACTTTATTCATTTTTTGAAGTTAGATTACATTTAACTAAAGACGAACATAAAGTTCGTATGATAAATGATGATAGCATGATAGAAGTTTATCCATCATTATCTAAATCAGCGGATAATACTTCATATTCTGGTCAATTATTTCCTAGAAATAAACCAGAAGTATTTTTCGCGGCTGGTTTCAATTGTAATTTAATTTGCAATTTATTAAATTAGATTTCATTTTATCGATCAAATCATATTCGTTTTATTCACATACAAGTCATTCATTATTTATTTATATTATTCACGTCACATGTTGTTAATATATATATATATATTATTGCATTCATTCATTTTATTTATTTTTACATTACATTATGTTTTTTTTTAAAAAAAAAAAATTATTTTTGATTTATTTTATTTTATTTTTTTTCAAACGCGTTCTTCATCTACAGAACTATTTAAGATTGTATAAGATTTTTTGATTTTTCATATATTTATTTATTATTATAAATATTATAAATTCTTTTTAAGTAAAATACCTTTTCTTTCTTTCTTTCTTTTTTTTACATCAAAAAAAAAAAAGAAAGATCCCAATTTATCGATAATGGGGAAAATTCATCATTCTTAAATCGTTTCCCCCTTTTTATATTATTTATTATTATTAATCCTTTACTCCTTATTTAGAATAAAAAAAAAAAATCGTATAAACAAATAAAAATATATAATTCAAAATAAATAATATAATAATAATATAATAATAATATAATAATAATATAAAAAAGGTCATAATTATTTGTCTATTGAATCCTAATTTGATTAAGATTAATTATATATCAAATATATTCATTTATTTATTATTAACCAACTAATCTTACTAATCTTAGTTAAAATAATAAAAATAACGTCAATATATTTTATTTTAATATATATATATATTTTTTTTATTTATAATTTTTAATTCTAATTTATTTATTTTATTTATTTTATTTTTATTTATTTTTTCTAAAATTAAATTAATGATTTTTTTTATCGAATGGAACAATGTCATTTCCGAATCTATCAACAATTATTCATTAAAAATAGTTATAAATTAAAATAATCTCATAATCTTTATTTTATAATTGGTTCATTAAATGTTTTTAAAAGTTAAATAATTATATTTCAAAAAAAAGGAACAATTATTCACCAATTATCGTATTAGTTGAATCAAATTGTAATTAAACAAGTTTTATTTATTACTTTATTATGTAACCTCGACTGTAATCATCTAAATTATATCATCTTGGAAATTTTTGACTTAAATAGATTATGAATACTAAAAAATAATAATAATATATTACTGAATTAAGTTTAAATAAACTTGAGAATCAATTAATTAATTAGTAAATATAATTCTTTTTTTAAAATTACCTACATATCAAGGATGATTATCAGAAATGAATCTTTGTTCTTTTCAAAATTTCATCTTAAAAATAAAAAAACTCCATTACGTCCAAAAATAAAAATAAAAATGAAAATGAAAATGAGATAAAAAAATTCATTGTTTGAAAAAAAAAACCCCCGATTGTGTTATTAAATATCTATTTTTATTCTTTTAATACATATAAGCATTTAATTTAAATTTGTTACAATATATTACTTGGCATATCACGTAAATCGATGATGTTCTTGGAATCTTCCAATATCTTTTCATTGAGATTGAACCTTGTCATTCCTTTCCAATTCTAATTTCTAATTCTTTTCCAAATGGTTCAATATAATCCTATTGTACAATATCTATACGCATTGTAAAAACTTTTATTGGTGCATTACTGACGTAAGCAAAATTGATAAATCATGTGAAATCTGTGGTTGCAGGTTAGTTATTTCGTTATAGATCATATGACTTCCCAAAAATTTCAGTATCGAATTTACTGATCAGTTGATAATCTTGATTTCCTCTCCTTCGAACACCAATTTTTGTAAATTATAGTTTTTTCTATTTATAATATAAAAAAAATTAGGAGCTTCCTTGTGGTAATATAAATATATAATATTGTCCTATCAATGTTTCAGAAGAATTTATATTACACTTGGTTAGAGCCGACTCTTGCGAATGGTAAGTGAGCTTCGAATGGTAAGTTTGGGAGTTTCTTTTTAGGAACGGCACTAACGTTCCTTCAATTACTTTAGATTACTAAACTTCTAGGACGAACAGGACGAACCGGTTTTAGGTGACAGGCCATATTTGCAGATATATGTTTCCTAGCCGCAGGGATATCACAAATGACATCCATGCGGATGGTTCTACCATTTGGATGATTGGACACCTAACTGCTTTTTTTGTAGAGACGTCGGACTTGGACGAACGGATAGGTAGTAGAGGTGAGGTGGTTGTACGTTAATCAAAGAACGTTTCTAACGTTCTTTCTTCTTTTTATAGGGACGCCGGACTCGGACTCTTTGATGAAGCCGGACTTAACATTGATGAGAGAGTGTGTGTGACGTATACAGTATTAATTAAGAAGCGCACTAACTTTTCAATTAATTTGGAGAGTAAAATTTCATTTATTGGTAGCTTTTTAATTTTATTTATAATTAGATTGAATGAAGCGCATGATTAATACTATGATTAGTTGGCAGTTAATTAAAATGCTTAAAAGACAACTTATTCAACTTATTTGTGTTTAGTACAATACCTTTCTTTTTTGATTTTATTGGAATCAAACCAACTGGACCAAATGATAGTGCCCAAATCATCATTAACAATAGGTAAGAAAATTATTTTATTTTATTTTATTTTTTATGGTTCCTTACGCTAACTATATTTATAAAAAAAAGATTTTTTTTTTTTTAGATTGAAGAGGAACCTAAAACTTCTTAAGGGAAATAAATTTTCTGATTGTGACGAATAATTTAATAGTTCGTCTTTGCTATGTTAGCTAAATTTTATCTACCAATGGGATGCAAGCTTTGTGATTTGTCATCCGTGGTTATATTGTTATGAAATAATAAGGATCAAAGTATTCAAATCATAATACAAAATTTTTTGCTAATGTTAACTAGTTAAACAAACAATTGACTGTAAAAGAAAAAAAGAAAAAAAAAGATGAACTGACAAAATAAAGAAAATAAAAAAAATTATTTATGGCTATCGAAACGTGACGCACATATCAAATGGTTAATATCACGTGAGAAAAAAATAGAGATCTTTTGATTCAAAGCAATTTCTTCATTGTGTTCGGTAGGTAAGCCATGGGCATTTCAGCCAAGTAAAAAAAAAGGAATATAATAACCTTCTGAAGCCTAATAATATCCTTAAAATCAAATAAAAAAAATTTAAAAAATTTCTAATATGGAGTTTACCATTCAAATAATTCTAATACTTTTTCCCATAATTCTTTAACTTACTTTTCAGTTTCTGGTATTTAGTATTTTTAAGGGGAAAACTGGTTTCTTGAAGCAAAGGACTTTGGATCCATTAATGATATTTTGCTAAGAAAATTTGGTTTCTAAAAATTTTTCCTCAGAAATGTTTTTGGTTCAGTGAACTAAATTTAGGCACCAAAACGTTTCAGCCATTGCAAATGCTGAAACTGTTTGTTTAAGATCCCAATTATAATAGGTTGAAATTTTGGCAATAATTTTGGACTTTGGCAAAGAATTTGAGATTTTGACAACTAATATATTTATATATTTTAAAACTAAAATATCTTTGCCATATATATATAGTCAATAGATTTTAGTATTTTAACAATGATTTGAAATTTCAGCAATAATTGAAATTTCAGTAATTTTGATTTCAATCTACCAAAATCTTAAACTATTGCCAAAATTTTAGACTTGATTTGAGATTTTGGCAAGCAGTTTCATTATTTGTAATAGTCTCAAATTATTTTGTATCTAATTTTATGATAAACTGTAATAATCTTCTTCTTTATACAATTTTTCATTATTGGTATACAATAACTATTTACCATAATAAAAGGTAAGTAAATTTGAAATTTTACAAAATACAAAACTATTAATTTATTTTTTGACAGTTCCTTTTATTTTAAGTTTTAATTTTAGCTGGCAAGTTGATTTTGGTAGTCATTTGTTGTAGATCTTATTTTATATAAAAACTAAGATTAGTAAGTAATTATAAATAATTATTCCATTTACTATATTATATAAACTTTAACTAATTCCTATATAAAAAACTAATAAACTAGAAGTATACAGTTTACTCTTTCTATAGCAAATTTTGATATAATAAATCATGTAACGCTTAGCCAATAGAATATGTTAATTTTCTCTCGCTATAACAAAGTAACCAATCAAATTCTTCAAATTCTTCATTAACTTACTATAACAAATTTGAGGTGCAGAACAGCTTCTTTACTATACTAAAGGTCATATGGGCTGATTTGGCTCACTTTGATTATATCACCTGCAAAAATGATCAATGGTCGATCATTACTAATTTGTTTAATCACACATCACATTTATAACCAATCAATTTAATTTGATCTGTTTAACAATACGCGGCTCTGATACCAGCAAAAAATAACTGCCATGTGTACTTTTTCTTGTCTTTTATGTTCTAAAATTTATGATACAAGAAAAAAACTCTAAAATCATGAACGAAGCAAACATAAAAACAATAAACTGATTCCACACCGTCACATGCTTTGTCAACCTTCTGATGAAACATTGTCATTTTATCGAGATACAATAATAATTCGCCTGAAAAATAGCCTTGGGTTCAATAGACATGCAATTGGAAAGAAACACATAACAATAGATGCGTTTCCAGAAAGTGTATTTTTGTTTTTATTTGAAAATGAAGATAATTTCAAGTATATATCAAGTCAACGAAAATATCAATGCATTTTTGAGGGTAGTATGGGTGCAGAAAAACTTAAAAGTATATTCAAATATAATGAAATTATATTTCGTGAAAATATAAATACTTCAACCCGAGGGTATATATTATTTGAGGATAATGATAGTCAATACAAAGCAACATTTAGTTGGAAACAGAAGGAGTGGAAGGAAAACAATGAACTTTTTTTAACTGGAGCTATGTTAATTAATTTTATTACCAATTCTGGCGAGTTTGTAAATTAGTAAGTATACTGTATAATTTTAAAAGTTTTTGTTCAAATATTAAATTTATTTTATTATTTACAGCCAAGATCAAGAAAATATTGCGCCACCTCTTTATGAACCAACCTTTGATAGTAAACATAATTTGCATACGATATATAATAATTCCTGTAATGTGTCTTCTTCTCATCCTAATTTTTCTCAATCAAATAATACAATTTCATCAATAAATATTGAGCCAACAACTATTACTAAATCACGCTATAGATATATTTTACCTCGCCCTCCAATTATATAAATTTTTAAATAAAATAAATAAAATGCTTTTATTACTATATAGTAATGTTTTTATATGTTATTTCATTGGGAATATTATTAATCAAATAAAAAATTTGGCGATTTTCAAATACTAATATATCATAAACAAACAGGAAGTTTTTTTTTACCTCCTCCCATAGTAGTTCCTCTAAAAAACAATTTAACCTAATAAGTAATAAATGAATAATAAAATTAGTGAGAATGAATAATATTCATATAAAATTATAAAATTAATAAAATCAAATACCTGATTATGATTTTTTTTTTCAATACTACTTGTTGAAAATAATCTAAGTGAAAGTCCCTTTTCTTTTAATTGATGCATACAATAAGGAACATGCATTGTAAGCATGTGCATGTAAGGTGTAACATCTTCTTTTCTATAAAGTCCTGGAATTGATGTTGCAGAATTCATTTGGCCTATAGTAGGCCGGCAGAAAGTTCTTACCCAATTTTTAACATCTTCCTCAAATTTTGAAATTTCTTCTTCAGTATGAGATGGTTTTTTTAAAACTTCATACAATTGATAAAATTTACGCCATAAAATTTCAATATCCACTCCACGTATTTCAGGTATAAATTCACTTACAGAAAAATGTTGTAGCATTTTTTTTTTATCAGGTCCCATAAGTGATGTCCAGTTCCAATTATCTCGAGCAGAACCACCATGATAAAACTCAAAATGAATATTAAGATCATTCATTTTTTTTTCAATTTTCTCTTTAAAATTTCGTTCAAAATCATTTTTCTTAAATAAATCTCTAAATAAACATTCCATCAATACATCAGATATCCGTAATAAGATATGAAGTTCATCAGGAATGTAACTATGTAAATCAACTACAGGAAATAAAGATACCCTTTTTTTTCCTAGTTAATGTAAATTATAATAAATTAATAATTACTTATATGTTATTGTTTTACAAAAAATTCACAAACATTTTAATTATTTTACTCCTAATATTTCCAGTAGATGGTCAAGAAAGATCCATATTATGGCGAGATTTAGCATCACATTCACAGAATAGGCAAAAATACTCTGAATTTGGCGCATTTAAGCCCATAATAATATATGTAAACTTCCAATCACCAGAAAAATAAAATTTAATTGGCCAATGAACGCCATCACCATCAATTATTCCACTTTCTTTTAAATCAGCTAACTGTACAGCAAATATTTTGCCAACCTTATCCAATGTTTCATATTTTTCTTTACCTATATAAAGACATATACTGAAATAGCAATTGAATTTTATTTATTTCAGTTTTCATTAAAATTACAAGTTAATTTATAATACATGTAAAAAATATACCTATATTGATGGTCTGGTTTAAGCACATTATCTTTTTCATTTAGTAAACAAAAGGTAATCATTACATGGTTTTGTTTCCTCCCCACATTACGACCATCACCACCAAGTTTTATATAAAGAGTATCTTCTGAAATTATTACAGGATTTTTGCCTCCTTTCCAAACAGGTATTAATACTTTAAGTAAAATTGAAAGAGAACGATAAGCTTCATTTCCCACTTCATAATTATTTACTAAAATGTCACCAGTATGTACATCAGAATTATGATCATTAATTTGATTAATATCTTGATCTATATTAAAAATTTTCACATTTATCTGAGTATTTATTAGTTAATTTATCTTATTTCGGCGATCAGCAACTAAATATTCACGGAAAAGTGATAGTACAGTTGCTGCTAAATGTCGATATCCATCACGGCTTAAAAGTGCTTCATCACACACACGTACAATGGCATCAAGTCTTGTTTGAATTGCCATAGGATCTGGATCTTTGAATTTAATACAAACTTGATTCTCTTTGTAATCAAATCCAATTTGCTGTAAATGTATAATTGATTCTCCAGATACATTTGTCAACTTGTGCTTAATGATCAATTCATCAACTGCTTTATGCACATCTTCTCCAAAACTCTTAAATCTTTTATTTTGCTGTGATTGAGAAGTGATTTCCTCAAGGGGTCTTTTTCGCTTATCATTTGTACCAGCAGTAATAGGTTGAAAACCAATTTGTGAACGAGCATAGTATAATGGCTCAATATCAAATCCAAACAACCGAGGTCCAGAAAGTTTAGTTGATGGGTTTTGGTTAATTTTCTAATCAATAAAATATTAAATTAATTATCTATAATTATTAAAATTTTTTAATATAAATATGAAAGAATTACATACTTGCAAAAATGTATTGACAACTGCTGTTGAAGATTTTGTACTACTAACACTCCACTCTGCCCGACCAATCTTCCAATTAATTGTATAGTTTACCTTTGAATTTGAAATATATTTAGTCTTGCAATTAAGACTCCTTTCAAACATCTCTGTTTCAACTATATAATTATCAGGTATTGGATATTGAATTGCGTTGTTTTTAGATTTTTGTGTCAACTTTGGTATAGAAGGATAGGTTCCCAGAGAAATAATATTGTAATATGAAATAAATAATCGTCCATTTGATTGATAATGTGCTTCAATTTTCGAACTTTTTGGATAATCATGTGTAAAGACATGACTAGAAAACGTAGCTATTGATAAAGGATGTTGTTAGACTTTTCCCTATATTAAAAAAAATAAAAAAAAAATATTACTTTCGGTAATGAGAACGATTGTTTCTGCCATTTTATTATTTTAAAGCAAAGAGTTTCGCTAATTGACTATAATAAATTTTTAATATACTACTTACGGTTTTCCAAAAAAAACCAATTCCTTCCAAATAAAACCAATTACAAACCAATTACCAACAGGAATCAAAGTTGCGAGAAACAAGTTCGAAGCCACCAACAATTGGTTTGAATATAAAATCGTCATGTGCATCATTGTGCGTTATCTGATATTATCACTGTTTACAAGTTATTTTGATCAGCATATCGATCAAAATTCATATTTATCACTAAAAATTAATTAGTGATACGAGACAAATCGGCCCATATGTAGACTGTAATCAACTACTTAATAACAATATATGACTTTATAAAATATGAAATAATCCAACTATCAGAAGTTTGCAAATATGCAAGTAAAAATATTTACTCTTGGTACTTGATTATTTTGATATTATGATAGTTTAATAAAAAAATATTATACAGTTGCATTATTTGTAATTGTATTTCTTCTGGTGGATTAAAGATGCTTGTCAAAACTATTTTTTCAAAATTTTAGTTTAATCAAAATTCAATTCAAAATTATTTTTTATAAATAAATTAATTGTCTAAACTGTTTTTATACTTTTTTAAAACTAATTATAATTTAGAAAAGTTTCAGATTTACCAATTTTTTCATTAAAAATAAAGTTTTTAAGTTTTAGTTTTTTGAGTTTCAGATAGCAATACTATAGTGGATAACTTTAATAAGATTCATTTTATTATTCCAAATATAGTACAAATGTAATCAGAAATTTTACAAAATGATAACATTAATAAATATTAATATCTATGACATTATTATTACTATTTGTACATTCATTAATTTATATTAATTTTTTATATTGGAAATGATAGATAAATTAGATAAAATAATGAGGTTTTACTAAAAAAAAGAGTAGCCAATTTTTTTATCAAAAAAGTAATTACATTCCTTCCCTAATCTATTTTATACATAATAACATTTCACTTATAATAGGATTTTATTATCAAAAATACTATTACTTGTATTATCTGTTTGTAATCAGATAAATTATTTCTGTAAAAAATGATAAAATTTAACTAATTTTTATTATAAAGAAATGTTAAAATACATTTACTTTTTACATAGTAATTTTTTAGACACAAAGCCCTTATCTTACTTTACTAAAACCTCTAATTTTTTAAAATATTTTTACAATATGATTATATAATAATATGATATAATAATAATAAAAAAACAATAAAAATAAAGATAATTTAAAAAATGGTATTAAAGTAAATGCATAAATAATATAAAAACAACATGATAAAAAGAATAATAAAAAAAATTATTATTTTATGTAAATTGCAATACTAATACAATACTAATACAATACTTTTGTAAATATATACAGTTAACCCTTGTTATAATGAACACAGGTCGAAAAGTGAAAAATCAGGCATCAATCAGGCACCAATCGGTCACCAATCAGGCACCAATCAGCTACCTGATTGGTAACCGATTGGTGCCTGATTTTTCACTTTTCGACCTGTGGAACCCTAGATTTCAAACCTCAACTTTGCTATAAAGCTATAGTGAAGATTTTAAGAGATTTGATTGGTTAATTTGTTATAGTAAGAGAAATTTATTATAGTTGCCTGAAAAATTCACTATATCAAGGATTCGCTATATCAAGATTTGACTATATATTATTTATAAAATATTGTAAAAATTAGAGTTCTAAATGAATCAGATCAGATCAGGTTAATTACCTGAAATTTTTTTCAAATCAGATCAGATCAGATTATATCAGGTTATCTATTTAATCTGACCTGAACTGAAACCTGAAAATTTTCAGGATTTTTATTAAAATATAAAAAAAAAAATAGTACAAAACATTTTTTTAAATTTTTTTATATTAAAATTGTATAAAAAGGTGAATTGCAATACCATAACTAACTTTTTTTATATAAAATCAATATAATATAGGTCAAAAAGTGAAAAATCAATTATCAATCAACCACCAATCAGTTACCAATCAGTTACCAATCAGTTATCTGATTGGTAACTGATTGGTGACTGATTGATGCCTGATTTTTCACTTTTTGACCTGTGTAAAAAAGTGAATTCTGATACTGCAATTCGCTTTTTATATATAAAATCAATATAAAAAGGTAAATTCTAATACTGCAATTCACATTTTATATATAAAATTAACATAAAAAAGTGAATTCTGATATCACAATTCACTTTTATTATATAAAATTGATATAAAAAAGTGAATCACAATTAGTGTTGTTAATCGGTGAGCCAATTCAAGTCGGTTGAATAAAAATAAATAAAATATGGTTGATTTTACCATCAGTTTGACTCCATCAGCCCACTAACTCAAGTCAAACCGATGGTCATCGACTTGAAATTAGCCCACCAGTTCAAGTCAAACTAACGGCATCAACTTTGGAATCAGCTCACCGACTCAAGTAAAACCGATAGCTATCGACTTGAAATCGGCCTACCGATTTAACAACACTAATCACAATATCACAACTCACTTTTATTATATAAAATCAATATAAAAAGTGAATTATAATACTATTACTTATATATTATATTATATAAAATCATAGTTTCAGATCAATAGGTCATTCAGATTATATTGATGTTACAACCTGAACAAATGCTGAATTGCAATTGCTAAACCTGACCTGAAAAATTCAGGCCAATCTGTCAGGTACCTGAATTTGATTAACCTGTCTAGTAAAAAATAAAAATATATAAAATATATTATAATTTTGAAATAATATTATTTTATAATAATTTTTTTTATCTGTTCAATTTTTTTTAAAAATCACAGATTACAGATCAGTCACAAATAGTATTATAAAAATAATTATCATATAAGCATTATGTAATCTTTTTTAAAAAAAAATCAATAATGATTAGGGGACTTACACATATCACGTAATTATAGATTGCTATATAACTGACCCCCCCCTAGTGAGATTATACTATCACGTGATCATATTGTAATCAACATAATTATAGTAACTGTCACACAAGTGTCATCATATTTTATATAAAACTCAAAATTTTCTCATCGATCTAATTTTGACAATATTTCTTTATTCTCTTTTTTTTTTACTATTTAATATATGCCTTTTAAATTATGAGTCTCTCTTGACTGTTTTACCGCTATAATGAATATAATAGTCAAACAAAAGAATTTTTTACATTTTTATTAATAAATCAGATCAAATTAAAAAATTACATTGTTTTTTGCAACTGTACACATGTGATTCTGCGATTTTTTAACGTGACTCAATATTTAATACACGTAAAAATGATCTGATCGCGTTTTAAATCTCCCCTTTAATTTCTTTATCTGATCTTTTTAACATGCAGACTTTCCTAACTACACCGAAATATAACAAGTTTTACATTTATAAAACTCCCATAAATCAACACCAGAAATTCTGCAATGCTTTTGGATATTATTTTATGGTGAATGCAAAAAATCCTGTATACCCAAAACTTAGTTTATGTACAGAATGTACTAATGCATGGAAAGAAATTCGGCATAAATCTCAAGAAGAAATCGAAAATAAAATCCAGGAATATCTAACAACTCCAGTTCCAATTCAAGGTTTTTTGCAAACTTTTCATTCGCGACCAGATTCATCTCAAAGCTCAAAATCCACCAAGTCCCAAGTCTCTCAAAAGCCAATAGAAGAAACTATCATAGCTGATGTTAATCCACCTCCCAATGCTGTTGCGCAGAAGAAAGCTGCAGAAATTATTAATGCAACCAATATGAAACTTGCTGAGCTTCAACAAATTTACAATTCCACCAGTGATTATGAAATTCGGTGTAATTTAATGGAGCGTATGACAAATCTTAAAGAAATTTTGTGCAGTGAGAATAATAAGGTTAAGAAATTAAAGCATCAAGCAGGTTATCAACGTAAGAATAGAGAAAAAAAAGCAAAGCTTTTGCAAGAATGTCAAGAAGTAATACAGTATAGTTCACCTGGTTGTCCACCACTTTTGACTCAATATCCTGATTTACATGAACATTTACATGAATGTATTGAGTTCGGAGTTGCAGATAAAAAAAGAAGAAAGGAGGTTATTAAAGTTAGAACAATCCGTCACCTCCAAGAAGAACTCAAATCAAAGTATAACGAATACCTTTCTCGTACTACTATAAGCAATTATCTGCTAACATCTCGATCAAATTCTATAGCTGCAAAGACTCATCACCACCCAGCTAATATTGCAGTTGCCTCCGTTTCTAGAGATGAAAAAAATAAACATCATGATGAGCACTATTGTCTTGCTTCTGTAAAAAGTGCAAAAAAATTTGCAGCCTTATTTCAAACTCATTCTGTTATCATTTCTCAGGATGACAAAGATAAAGTTCCTCTTGGTATCCCTGCAGTTGGGAGAACGTTCAAAACTATACAAAGCTTTCAAGAACCAGTTACACTACCTGATCATGATTTTCCGGTTGGAATGCAGCAAAAGCTTATTCCATCAGTATATTTACTCATTAATCCACATGACACAAATGATACTTTTAGTAATGGCCAACTTTCAATTTTCGTAAATCCACAATACCAAGTTGGTACAAGTGCAGCCACTCATATGAATGATCTTAATTCGTTAACTCAAAACAGCCATTTTGATGAGATATTAAAAGTTGACGGCAAAATAAAACCTATTTGGATTATTTTAGTTGATGGAGGTCCAGAAGAAAATCCCCGCAATATGAAAAATATTTACCAATATTGTAAAATGTTCCACACCTTTGACCTTGATTATCTTTCTATTCAGACTCATGCACCAGGTCAATCGGCTTATAATCCTGTTGAGCGTAGTATGTCAACACTTTCTCAAAAATTGGCCAGTATAACATTACCTATTAACAAATTCAGTTCTCACCTCAATTCTCAAGGCCAAGTTGTAGATTCGGAGCTTACAATAAAAAATTTTCGTTATGCTGGTGAGGTTTTGTGTAC